TGCTGTTCTGTCTGGATAATCGATTAGAGTCGACGCCGCGCAGTTTTCGGTGAAAGAAGGCTTAAAGGTTGTGGTAAAAGCTGTGCCTCTGCTATAAGATCTTGGAATTCTTAGTGCCGGAGGATTTGAAATGGAAGGCGAGAGTTTGCGATAAATTTTACCTAGGCTCTCTCAAATCTTTGTAGATTAAAGGCCTTTCGAGTAGATATACGGTTTGACTAAGAATGATATAGAAGTTAGCCTTAGATAGATTATTTATAAGACCCTAGTCTTACCGAAAGTTCAAACGATTGTTGTATATCCTGTTGGGTTGAGTCCTTTTGTGCGCCAGTTTTGTATGCGCGGCTACTTAAGTGCGCAGTTAGGGATTTCGACCCATTTAAGGTTGATGATGGGTGCGATAGCACCTTTCCACATCTCCGACAGAGTGCTATTGGTTTTCCAGTTTGATAGTGTGCTACCTAGTCAAACTGATCCCAAGCAGAAGATGTATATCGTGCTTCGAAGTTCACTTTATGGAGTGGAGGGTATGGATGAGCACCAGTTGTATTCCTCTACCATTCAATAAACTCTGCCTTATTCTCTATAGTCCAGAGAACCCAGAACTTTTGATTTCGTGGACCGATTCGACGAAGACTAGGTAGAAGAGGTGTTGATTTAATTTCGGACTGAATAACTGAGGATGGTGGTACGCTATAAATCGGCTGCTGGCTAATCGAATGGTCTGGTGTAAGGGGTTCATCTATCAAATCAAGATTATAGAGTGAAGATGGTGGAGGTATCCCAATTTGCGAGGAGGCAATCTGGGACGAAGGGCTAGCCTCAGCATAAAGATCGTATTGAGATATGATATTCCAATAATCATTATATCGTAGAGGACTGGGGTAAAGAGGGGAGGGACTTAGGAGTATAATAAGGATAGAATAATCTTGACTTACCTCTCAAAAATCTTCTGATTAACGATCGCATCTATCCTCTATACCTTGAGTACTCTATAGTAGGCCGAGTAATAACTAGCGCGAAGATAGATCATAAGATAGTAAGACCTTCTATTTACAGCTCCCCGATTGGTTAAGCAAGCTTTATAATAGTGGGGGTCCCACGGGTGTCCTATGGGAGTCCCGCGGGAGTCCCGTAGGAGTCCCATGGGAGTCCCATCAAGTCAGGGGTATAGTCAGTTTTGAGGGTCAACCCGATCCCCTAGCATTTTGATGGAATTTCTTGTATAAAGGCTTCCAAAGCTCAATTTTCTGACCCCAGTCAAAAAACTGACAGTCGTATCAAATCATTGTATCTTCTACTGCCATTTTTCTGACCGAGGTCAGAAAATTGATAGTCGTATCAAGTCATTGTATAAAGGCTTCTAAAGCTCATTTTTCTGACCTCGGTCAGAAAATTGGCAGTAGTGTCAAATCATTATACTTCTAAACCTACTATATGCTAATGCTACTACTATGTACATATAATTAAATTACTTAAAAATATAAAGAAAAAATATACAAATAATGTAGGTCACGAGGTCAAGGAATTCTACTTAGTTACTAAAAAGGCCTTAAGGCCCGTGGGCAGTGCCCACCCGCCCGTCCATAGGCGATGTCGCAGTCCAGACATTGATTTCTATACCAATAATATGATATTAAGAGTAGTTTTGAAATAAAAGGATGAAATAAAGACCTATCTATAGTATCTAATGCTGAAAAAAAAAGGATTTATTATATTTTGGTATAATTTTTAATATGTGTAGAGCTTAGTTGAAACTGGAGAGTATAGTATGTATGTGAATATATATATCTCTACTGACTGACTATGATACTAAGTCAACAACTTCTTCTTGATCTCCTACACCTAATTTTACATATTTGGGCTTACTTTTGCTTGAATATAATATTTAAATATATGGCTGAGATATTCATCTTCTATTTTTAATAGTATGCCATATAAAAAAGTTAGATTGCTACAAACTTGAAGTGAGAATGTTGATACACCTGTAAAAAACAGTATTTTATCTGCTGAGTTAGCATTTTTGTGCAACCAAAATAGGAAATGCTTGGCAAAAATATGTATGCCATGGGACCATATGGGAGTCCCATCACTCCCATGGGACTCCCATGGGACCACTATGGTAATGGGACCAAAATTTTGGCTAGTCCCATGGGAGTGATGGGACCAGGATATGGGACCAAAATTTTTCTAGTCCCATGGGAGTTGGCAAGGTCTAGATCGTATACGTTTACTTCGTACGCGCCAGTAGAAATATAAGATCGCCGATACTCTAAATAAGGTATACTTCTATTTAGAAATCATAAATTATAATTTAATAATACTAACTATTCTGATTCCTAATAGGTCCGAGGTCTTACGGTTTATATTAACGGAAGCCCTCAACGTAAGGAAGCCTTCCTAAATACCTAGCCTAATAATACGCTCCGGCTTCTTCTAATCTAAGATATTTGTATACGGTAGAATTCGATATTTCTAATACTCTGACGGGCGAAGAGGCTTTATATCGCATTTAATAAGTTCTGTTCCGACTATAATTAATACTATTTTATATTAAGTGTAGAGGGGTAGCGATAGATTGACTATTTACTTTATATTCTTTAGCCCTTTTTTACGCTTACTACGCTAGTTTGTCGTACTAAAGACTCGAGTATCTACCTTATCTTTAGGATTTATAATAAACTCTTCGATTATCTTAAAAGATTAATAGGTTAGCTTTGTCGAAAGAAGGTTCCCTAGAAACAGCTAATACTTTCCTCCCTCGATACTACGAAAGAGAAACTAAAGAAATACTACGGCGAGATAGATAGTATCGAAGGCAATCTCTATATAATTAGGACGATCTTAGCGCTGTCGAGTAAGATAGAGTTCTTTTTAATAAGTGATTAGGACTTAGATCCTAAGATAGGAAAGGACTATAGAAAAGAATACCGCGAGAGTCTTTAGTCTTTTTTTAAGAGATATAGCTAATATATACTATTAGAGATAATGCAATCTAATAGCCAGTTATTTATAACTGAATCGGAGCTTAAGAAGGCTCTTAACGGCGATTCTTTACAACGATTAACTGCTCCGTAGTACGACGAGCTTACTAAATATCTCTAGAGTAGTAAGTAAGTAAGCCTACTTTATAAATTATATAACTAACCTTACCTAATTAGAAACTATTAAAGGATCTATTCGGATCTTCTAGAAAGATCATTAGAGGGAATTCCCTATTCTTATAAGTATTACCCGTAATATTATGTCAATTCTAGCGACTAGTGCCGGAGTTAAGCGTCTTTTTAACTCTGCCCGCGATATATACCACTACCGCCGGGGGTCGTTAAACCCAGAGACTGTTCGCGATATTATATTATATATATGTACAATAAGATTCAATATTAAGGAGGAGTAGCGGCTAATTCTCTAAGAGTATCTTTTAGACTATAAGATAGCCGCTTCGACCGAAGCACTTAATATCCAGATATATACTTTCGAGGCTATTAGTGATGATGAGGAGGATGTCGAGATACGTCTTGATATAACCCCGGACGTACCGCTACTCTTAGTAGTCGCCGCTGGAAAGCGGCCTGCGGTTAATTCTAACGATAAGGAAGAATCTGATACCGATGAATTTGCGGATCTAGATAAGAATAGGGCATCACCCTTACCTGACTTCCCTGATACGCAGTATCGTACATCCGGTAGAATAAGGAAGAAGTCGAGACTACTAGATAGGTATATAGCTTGATTACTTGAATCTTGACTCTTGAGAACTATAACCCGACACTGAACTATAGATATAATATAAACCATTGATGATTGAAAGTTGAAACCCTAATTCGACGCTGAGCCAGTAAGCCCATAATATGCACTAAATCCTCCTGTAAGGGCATACATTAATGAAGTGTTGTTTTATAATTACGAGAGAATACAGCCTATTTCTACATAATTTATGTAGTTGACCCTAAGTCACGTTTTTTACCTATTTGTCATGCTTGTTGAACCTCAGGTTCACCCGCGGGTAACCTCCATGAGGTTCGGTCCAAGATAGAACCGCCCGGAGGTTCTAGGTCATGGAACCTTAACCTCCGGGTGGGTGAACCTCCTTGAGGTTCGTGAGGTTCACCCGTGGTTCCTGGCCAGGTCTAGTTGAGCCCCCTTTCAGGGGTTTTGTAATTGCCGTTCGTTTTACCCCCGCTTCTAAGCCTCATACTAAAGTTATCATTTTATTACTTTAAATAGCAAAGTTAGAATTCACTAATAGTTATCTCTTAATATCACGTTTAAAAACGCGCTATTTAGATAATCTATAAATTGCAAAAGTTCATTTAGAAGGTAGTACTCCTAAACCAATCCCAAATATATATCTTGTCCAAACTTCAATATTAACCTTTTTCGCAACCTCTACCGGTTGGATTTTATTTAAATCTGAAATATATACTTAGATAGCTATCAATAGTAGAAATTCCAAAAATTTAAACTCTGTATAATAAGTAGAAGGTTACAATATAGCGATTATAGAGGCCACCTAAGAGGGGCTGTGGGCCCGGGGTTCGGGCCCATTTACGGGTGATGCGGAACGCTACTGGTGGTTACCCAGTCTCACCGCATGAATCACCAAGTCCGACCTTTAAATCGTCCTTTAGACCTGTTTGACTTGAGTTGAACTTCTTCACATCTCTGAGTAACAAAAGGGAGGGGCGATGAACAAGGATCTTAGCACAAACCGAGGTTTTTGCTCAGGTGAAATGAATTACTTCCTAATCAAGTAAGGTGTCGATACTTTCCAAGTAGGGTCTAGCGTACACAAGGTGGCTATGGTGCCAAGATCCTGCTAAGCTTGCTGCTTCACACTACGCCGTATTTGTCCCACCACTAAATACTTCAGCTACCATTATTGAGTCTTCTCTTTCTTTCATTAAGAAATGCAAAACCAAAAGGCGGGGCGAGGCCCAAGGGGAAGATATGCCCGCACGATATGTCGCGGGTGCCGCTCAAGAAAGATTAAATGCGTCATGCAGAACCGGGGTGATCTCGGTCCGTTGGGTGTTCCGCAACCTCAAGAAAAGTCTTGTGAACGATGTCGCAATCTGAACCTGGAATGCATTGTTGAGCGTACTCTTTTAGGACGCCCCGCAGCGAAGCGCCATTGTGGCATGGCGGCTCAAGAGAAGGATACCGTAATGTCGGCAGAATCCGACAGACCTAACGGGCTTATCAATTCTTCGCTTTCCAGTGTGGATATCCAAGATCATCTATTCTCCGATGCAGCGGAGGTTGGTCCCAATTGGCAGGAGGTGGGAACAAAATTAGCTCCGCGTCCAACCAAAGAAGAACGTTTCAAATCGATGATAGAGCCCCATTTTTTTCTTTCATCAATCTTGTCTAAAGATCAAGCATTCGGGAGTGATGTAGCTCAACTCCCTTCCCGTTGGGACGCGTCTCTTACAGAGCTTATTGACAATGACACTGCGGAGTCGCTTGAAAGGAGGTGAGTCCACATGATCCGACATCTCTCACCCTGCCTAATTAGCTAGAATAGTTTGACTTGGCATCACTTTTTTCATCCTTCACTGCCAGAATTGGTAGAACTTAGAAGCCGCTTGCTCTCGAATGACTTTGCATCGGTCAATTCTGCAACCAAGCTGCTCTTCGCGTTGCTCTGCTTGACTGCTCTAGACATTGACGACGCCTTGGCCAAAAGATACCCCGCTTTGAAACCAAGTCTACGCCTTGCTGTGGCATTCGTCGGCCAAGAATTTATATTTTCGCCACCAACGCACCATGACACAGTCGTGGTTTGCCTTTTTTAGCAGACTACAAACCCACAGCTTTGGCTACGACACAAACAGTCTTCCATCGTGCCATTAAGTCTGAAATGTTTATTCATTTAGCTCAGAGAATTACAGAACGACTTGAAGAAAATTCGGAACAAGGAGGTACACTTCCATGTGAGTTGTATATTGTGGATGGTGCCCAATTCGATTTTGGCTTTAATCGAACGGTAGAGCGCTTACAGCTACTGCATTATGACACATTCCTGGATGGTTACCTTGCAAAATCACCTCGCGCTTTACGACAAGCTCTTGCGAAGATGACGCCCCTTGTTGATGTGTACCAAAATGTTTCGAAACATCGGCAGTGCTCACCAAGAACTATCTTCCACGTAAATTGGGCCACGTCAGTCTGCATTCTGTTGAATGCTGTGGCAAATTTGAAAGAAACATGGAACAACCCCGGATTTCTGTTTGGGGAAATTGAAGAGGCCGAGAAGAGATGTGTTGAGCAACTCAAAACAAGTGGCATCTTATTGGAGAAATCATGGGGCATTTTTGATTCGCAAGAGATAGAGGCTGCTCACTCGATCTTAGAGCTAAGGTTCAATTCTATTATCGCTAGGATATGGGGTCTTGGGCTGTTGTATGCCTCAGTCCTTAAAGTACGGTCTTTGGAGGGCGAACTGAAATGGGAACACGAGATTGAGAGCCATGAAGCAATTCAAATTGGTGATCAAGTCAGAGGAAGCAGAGAGGATATGATCGCAGGCGCAGCAGAACCCTTTGCTATGGCATTGAGTCAGCTTGGAGCCAAGTTTCCTGAAAGGCTAAGGAACCTTTTGGAGATCTTCATCAGATGCATGGATTTGAGGCTTGCCGGCACAAGCTTTCGTCCTCCACTTCAACACCTTGCTCTTGAGGTTCTCACACATTGCAAAAATATTGTTGAAAACAATCTTGTGCACTTGAAGAGTTTTGGACGATTGAATTCCGAGTTTGAGAAACAGTTGGAGTTGTTTACCATATGCGCACAGCGATTTGATTCTATTGTTGCCGCGCCGTGGACATCAACTGACGTGGCCTTTGCTAATGGTTGCGTCTATGCCGTGGGCAGTAAAATAATATCGGGCTTTTGTGAGGTGATGAAAACGGCGAAAGAAAACCACTCGAGGCGGATTGTGAGGCAGGAGTGTCAGAACGGAGAGGAGATACAGGCAGGAGTGGGCTTTTCGCCCATGTACTCAGATATGAGTGAAGGCACTTTCTTTGCCTCGAATACGTCAACAGAGGCATGGAATATGTGGCCGTATCTTGGAGGATTTAACCCGCCTCCCAATCCACTGGAACTTTATGACTGGATTGAAGGCCTGAACACTGATGTTGATCCTGGGATTATCCCATTTCAATAAGATACTATGTGCATAATCATTTAATTCTTGCTTCTATGTAATGCAGCATGGAATTTAAATTCCCGCTGTAACATGATTGTGTTAACAAGAGAATAATTGAGTAAAGCAAGCAGATATCCATATCCACCGGGTGACTATGTGTGGGTCAATTCTGACTCCCCTCGGTGGAGAAGTAGTGCGCAACGAGTGCGCAACGAGCGCGCAACAAGCGCGCAACTGACAAATGTTTCCGTGGGGGCATCAATCCCGCGACAAGAAAATGCCACAACCTAAGCCTCATCCGGTATACTCTCTCCTATTCCCATGTGGGTAGACCATAAATGGATTTTTACGACTAATGGTTGGCTTATTATTCATATTGGGCATATGGGGTATCTTGTTTTTGGCAACGATAACCTAGGATCGTTTTAGCCATACCTGCAAGCCGCCGATCCATCCCAACCTCTGTCCCTAGACGCGGCAAAAAAATTGCTCATTTAGATGTATTTCAAATTTAGTGAATTTTTGTAAGCGACGAATCAAAAAGTAAACGGGGACTGTGGCAAGTAAATAAATTAGAGATCCTGATTCAAGGAAAGCTCCCTTTCCATCCTACCTTTTCCACCCTACTACATCTACGAGAAGGGAAAGTCAACATGGTTTTCCTTGTCAAAGCCCTTCGAACGGGTCTTGGTTTTGCCTCAGAAGCAATCCATGCGGCCAGAGATCGACCCTTGTCGAACGATCAACCTAAATCCATCCCTCCCAACGATTCCTCGTTAGAAAATTTCGAGAACTCCAACTCTGCCAAGCAAGTTGCCACAGACAGGACTTTTCCGCCGTGCTCATTAAAGCATCCAGAGCATGACACCGTCCCTCAGAGGCAGACACTCACGGCTGATGTCGAATCAGACTCTTGGTCACATCATATGACTGATGCCAACCTGGACGAGGTGTCGTGGCAAATTGATGATATGATCGAGTCGTTGAGAAGACCGAATTCTGGCGAAGACCTGTATGCGCTTTCATATGACGATACTCTGACCAGTTCATACGATGAGACGGAGGACGAAGAGGAAAGAAAGGTCAAGCAGAGGGAAGCATTGGCTCGTCAGTTGGTTGAGATGGCGGGGCCCCCTCCCGGAATTCTAACACGACTTCCATGTCCTGTTGTTATTCCTCAGCGCCGTCCTAGAAACAAAGACCGCGGATTCGTACGTGCATATGCCCCCATTCTCCGGGACTGCGGTATCGACCAAGAAGTCTTCTTACAATTCCTGGAATACCTGGATGTCGTTAATCATGTTCGTACAAGCTACCATTTCCCCGAGCTTCCAAGCACTCACACTTTATATAGGCCTCTAAATGGATTGAAGTAATTTTCATCGCCGCTCAAATCACATCATCTCTGCCATTCCCCGCCGCTATGGCTGTAGGCATGGTTCTCTCTGTGGTTGCCGGCACTGCTCGCGAACTACAAAAGCGAACTCGTGCAAATACCTTTCTTGAGATGGTCAACCGTGATTTGTTCATGCCTCGCGGGCTATTTGTCATGGTGATCGCGTTCAAACCAGATGATGATGCAAATCAGGGACCACTGGGCAAAGCCACCAGCTCGCTCAAGAAAAGCATCTATAAAAAGGACAAAGTAGACCTGAATCAGGCAGCGATCAAATGGAGCAATCCTGATGTCAACAAGTCGAACTTTGGAAAGAAACTTAACAATATCCGAGTGGAGAGCGGCGAGACAACTTCGGAGCTCGAATTGCCGGAAACTGCGAGCCTAATCTACCCACAGTTGGATCGTATTGCCGCAGGGGGATACACAGAAGAGCAATCACAAGGGATTTCTGAAAAGTTTAAAGACGCCGGAGAGTGGGTCAACGACTATATGGATAGAAGGGCGATGGTGTTTTACGTGTGTTATTATCCCCAATCTTGGTATAACATGCTAACGAGAAAAATAGGAAGCAAAACACCCTGGGTCGCCAATGGTCATACCTTCTGAGCAGCGAAAACCAATGAAATCTCGCTTTAATGATCCAGATCATCCCGTGAATAGCGGGTCGATGATTTCTCTCGTCACTGGCGGTCTTATTCCTCTGCCAGGTCCTAGCAAGTTACTTGCCAAGAGGAATGAAGCCCTAGGGATCAATCGTCTTTTTGGCAAACCAGCGGATTCGCAAGATGGCCGACTAGTCCCTAGCACAGGAAAACATCAGCTCAAGAAAGTCTTTTTGAAGGACGTCTTATACCTTGCGGTTGTCAACCTGCCTACAGAAGAAGAGGCCGAGAAATCAAAGGCTCAATTGGAAAGCATTGTACAGTAGAACGAAATCATTGTTCCAAGTGCAGAGCCTAACGATACATTTTAACGGGATTCCGCCTGAGCGGTCAAATGTGACGGGGTTTTAGCTCTAGCTGCAATGGGGTTTGAGTCGAAATTGAGATACCTACAACTTGCTTGAGATAATGGAGCAATTTTTATCAACAGGGCTGCCTTCAAGCTTTGTACAATTATGGAAAGTCCCGTAGAGAACATCAAGACGTTGTTAAATCTTTCCACTTGCCTGAGCAAAGTAGCTACATTGAGGCCCTTACGATAAGAATAAATTCAACTATTCTCAAGGGGATCCAAATCCGTGAATAATGTCAGAGAATAAATCAGCCAGCGTAGAACGAAATAGTGATGCCAAAGGAAACATTTGATTTCACTATGTTTGTTTCAAAAGTAATTCATACAAGGGGGGTGTGATGTGACATTGCATTTACATTGGTTGCCCGGTCCATTTGCTATAGTTATATTTAGTATTCTCATTGAACGGACTACTCCGCCCCAATACTTATCATTTGAACTTGCTTCACCGCAGGGGCCAAGAAATTCACGATCAGCTAATCTAGGGAAAATTATTAGAATGCAGAGGGGCCCGTGATTTGAGATAATAGAGTTGGCCCCCATAGTGCGGCTTCTATTGCGCGCTCGTTGCGCGCTCGTTGCGCACTACCACAGCCCCCAGCATTCAGCTTTTATGACCTCATGCGTGAGAATCAAGTCAGCCCGAACCCCATCCATATATGAAAACTCCACCTTCTGCTTTCCCTGCCCCACTAATTGTGCTAAGCTCCCGCGTGGCGTTAACTATCGCGCTGGCGGAGAGCGGAAAAATAATTGCGCATCTTACTGGCGATCGGCTCTGATAGTAGCTGAACCATAAGATAGGGAAAAGGAAATTGTATATAATCCATGGATTCCATACTATAGTTGATAATTCAACACGCTCATCAATCATGTTCTTCAAGAGTCTTTTGCTCCTCGCTGGAGCACAGTCCGCCTTCGCTACTTGTAAATGTGTATGTATGCACAACTTGAGTTATCACATCTTGGAAACTGACAGAATCTAAATAGACCCCAACTGACGAATGTTGGCCTTCTCTCTCTAAATGGAATGCCCTTAATGTATCCGTTGACGGTCAACTTGTGGCCAATCAGCCCATTGCTCAACCATGTTATCCCGGTCCGGGCCAGGATGCAGAGCTATGTCAAGAGATTAGCCAGGAATGGACGAGTTCAAAGTTCCAAGAGGCACAGCCCATCGGATATACTTATCCAGTTGCTGTGACCTGTCCTCCAATCAATGCCTCGATCGCTGCTTACCCTCTCTGCCAACTGGGTGCGGTTCCGGTGTACACCATCAATGCAACCAAAACAGGTGATGTCTCAGCAGGCATAAAATTCGCCAAGGAGAACAATCTACGACTTGTTATTAAGAACACCGGCCATGACATTGTCCAAAGGTACGGAAATTTGGTTCCTATCGATTTGGAAGGTGCATCATGTGCTAACGTTCTATTCCCAGATCTCAAGGATATGGCAGTTTGATGATTTGGATCAAATACATCCAGGACGGTCTATCCTACCAACCCCGTTACACTCCGTCGAATCATTCTTGTCCGTCGAATTGGACTGGTGGTGCCATCACTGTCGGTGGTGGATATATTTGGGGAGACGTCTATGACTTTGCAGCCAAGCACAATTCTATTGCCGTTGGAGGTGATGATAGTGTAAGAAGCCATCTATATGGACCCCGGGCTAGCAGACAGGCTAACAATAACACAGACGGTCGGGGTTATTGGAGGATATATTCAGGGCGCCGGTCATGGCCCGACTAGCCACGCCTTTGGATTGGCGACCGATCAAGTCCTCGAATACACAGTTGTTTTGGCATCAGGAAAGGTTGTAAAGGCAAACCCATGCCAGTACCCTGACTTATTCACTGCCCTACGCGGAGGAGGTGGCGGTACTTACGGTGTTGTCGTATCCGCTACAATCAAAGCACACCCTACGCGCCCAGTCCTCGCGCATACTTTACTCATGACTCCAACGAAAGGCAATTTGAGCGATCTTGTGAATGCCACAGGTAATGTGTTATCGAAATATTCTATTCTTTCCGACCGAGGGTTCGGAGGAATCGGGGAGTTGCTCAATATGAAAGGGGAGACTGTCTACGCGCACACCTTCATCATGCTCCTTGACAACAACTCTTCCAGCACCATTGAGAGCACTAAGAAGTTTGTGAACCAGCAGCTCGTGGGCGATCTGCTTCCGTACAATGAGACAACGCTTTACGTCTCCTCTTCCTTCAGTCATTACCCGACGTTCCAAGGATACTTCGGCTCCAAAAGTCACGCAGCCCAGGCTGGAGATAACCTCCTCATGATTTCTCGATTCTTCGACAAGAAGTCACTTGTCTCCCAGCAGGAAAATCTATCGATTATGCTTTCGACTTTGTTTATCGAGACAGGCCCCGGGGCCCGTCCCTCTGGATCTGGACTTTCGCTGTCTCTCGATGGTGGTGGACAAGTCCTTCACCAGGAACCCTTCACATCCGTCAACCCAGCATGGCGCAAGACCTATGCTCTCTTGACGCATGTCGATCTCTATCCTCTCGATGCCGGCTCTCAAGGAGTTCAGGAAGTCAAGGACAAGGCTACCTACAAAAAGCTAAAGGCAATGGAGGATCTGACCCCCGGCATGGGAACGTATCTGAATGAAGCTGATGGATTTGATCCCCAGTGGAAGAAGAATTGGTTTGGAGAGAACTACAATTGGCTCAAGTCTGTGAAGCAGAAGTATGACCCTGAAGGCGTGTTTTGGTGCTGGCGATGTGTTGGAAATGAGGGATGGGAGGAAGTGAAGGGTGGTGCGACCTACGGACCCTTGTGTACCACTGACTAGAAATCCCGAAAAGGTCAGTAGTTTGTCTGATTAGTACCTGTCAAGTAAACGCCCCCATAGATGGGAAATCGATATATACCGTTTGCAAATCGAAGAGGCATATTTGGAAGAGATTGGTGTTCAAAAGATTCAAGCTGTCTAAGGGTTGGATAATAGTACTAGAGTAGCTAGACTTAAGGTTCAAACGAGGCAAGCCGCCCTATACACAATCACAGAAGCCCCAGAGGCTTTCAAACCATATGGAAGCAATAGCATAGAGTAGAGGGCAGAGTCCCAACAGACCGGAAAGTAAAGGCCCCTAGCCACTCATTTCTTTCCCTAACAATACCCCAAGCTCGCTATTCAATACTTGATAACCATGCTACCTATGTAATGCCGCAGGCTAACGTTCAAACCACCCGAAGACCTACCGATAGAAGGTGCGACAGGGGTAATACTAATTTTATTATCAAATTATCCGCTAGTGGCACGGCGTGCTCAGCCTTTGAGCGACAGGACACGGCGGATGAATGCTGCTACATATCTTGGCGATTTTAGGGTTGGATTCGACCAGATAACTAGGTCTATTTATTATTGCATTTGACTTGAAATGGTATTGTTGCCCTTGATGATTACATATGACCTGAAATGGTGTTTTTGCCCTCAGGCAAGCACCCCCATAGGATCCCACCGAGGCAAAACCTTCGGACTTTGCTCTAGAATAGCTTGTACGTCGGTCGAGACGAAGTTGAAGTCAACAACGGCCTGGAAAGTATACTCATCCATCCATCGATCGGTCATGACAAACCACCCATCCTTTCCAACCTTCTCGCCCCAAGAATTCTCCACGCGCCATCGAACCGGCCGGTCGCCGTCTAGATGCACACCCGTGATGACCATAGCGTGGGTCATTGAGGAAGCACCACTAGCAACCCGCTGGGCCTTGCTCATACTCAGCGTGATATTGAATCCGAGCGCGAGATCGGTGAGGTCGGTATCCAAGACTCCACGGTCGCGATCGTAGAACTTGCCCACGTCGCAGCCAAAAAGACTGGGTATCCAGCTCTGAGCATCGCGATGATTGCATTCTTGAGCGTATGCATCTCTACATTAATATACGTGATAGGCCTCCCTTCTACCACGTTCCCGAGTCTCTCAATGGTCAGCAACCGGTTGAACTCGTGTCGCGGATCGTTAACTAGACTGAACAGCCGCCCTGTGCTGACAGTTGGATGGCCTCGAGAGATCGATCGAGGGCGGAAGGCTTGCTGAGCGAATTCTATCGGTGTCAATTGCACTTCACGAGCTCTTCCGCTAGCGTCGGAGAATTGCCAGACGAACTTTTTGTCCGGGCTCGGCGGAGGTCCCAAGAGGAGGGTAACCAGCGAGTGGATTTCCTGCAGAAATTGCTCCTTCGCAGCGGCTACCGATTGCGGGTCTTTAGCTGCCAATTCGCGAAGGACGAAGGCCTGGTCTCGCAGCTTAGTGGTAAGGAGCCAGTTCATCTTCGCACTATTCTGCGCATGATAGGCATCCGGATAGAGTGCTTGCGGAACCAATCCGTATTTTTGCACCAGGTTGACTACCATATCCCATTGGCCACCATCAGAGACTGGATCTTGGCATAGTTTCTGTACCAACCGGCTAGAGAGATCCTCGTGGGCGGTAGCGATGATCTGCTCGAAGAACCAATTCGCTTTCTCAATCTTGTCCCAATAGAAAAGATACGCCTGACTAAGCTCGAAGTCTTTTAGTTGGTAGGCTTTAATCAGCAGCAGACGGAAGATATTGGTCGCGGCGAAGATCCAGCAGCGTCCGGAGGACCGCTGGTTCGTGATGGGTGTGCCTTCCACCGGTACGGTCAGGTTAAAGATGTGCTGATCGCGTTGAAGGGCGTTGTGATTGATGAGGATGTCTGCAAAAGAGTGGTCTGCGAAACTTGAAATCGCCAGGCGGTTCTATCTCGCTTGCCCAGCGTGGGCTGTCGTTAGTAAATAGAGTCTTCGAGTGTCGATAATGGTGTAATATGGTTCAAACCTTTGGATCGCTCAGCAGGGTCTGGTTCCAATCATTTATGCGTGGAAGTGTCAGAGGTACGACTCTTTCCTGGGCCGAGTACGGCGGTAAGGCTGTGATCCCGTCAGCTACAAATATCAAGGAAAAAAGGACTACCTGTTATCCTTTGGCATACATGATTCCCATGATGCTTGTTCGGTCATATCAGTCTCTCTTTCGGCCGAAGAAGCCTTCTCGCTGAGCGGTACGGGCTTAGAAACGGCTGAGCCCATTCTGACCAAAAGGATATATTGATATGAAATATGAAGAATTTGGGCAAAAGGGCCAAGTATCCAAAAATTCTATGTGAATGGTTTGTTGAAAGGAGCAATGGTAGAGGGAAATCGAGGTGCGCATGTGTCTCCCAAGGTTGTTTATCACGCGCGGGGTACCCAAAGATTGCGTGCCCGCTGGCTGCGAATCAGATTGCCCTTGATAGCCCTGTCCAATCGCCAGAGCCATCTTTTTGATAGCTACGAAGCAGGGTGGTTCAAGGCCACTTGGTAAGTATCATTCATCCAGTTCACAGCTACAGCTATTGAGATACTCAGTCTAGAATATTAATAGTTCCGCAAAGGCAACCAGAGCTACGCAGAGCTTTTTGGCATCCTGGACATCTCAAGGTATTTTCCGAGCAGAACCTGCTGAATATGTTCAACCCTATCGGTGTGTGATGAAAAATCTTCCAAGGTTGCATACTGTCATTACATACTCCGTATCAGGCAAAAAGGCATCCACCTACGGAGCACTCCGTAACTTGCTTGCATAAATCCACTCGAGTGGGGGGCGCACTTAAAGCCCCGCAGTCAGAGGTGCCTGTGGGTGCCCATGGCTACAAACCTTCCAAGGTTGAGTCTCGGCAGCCTCGGGCCAGTGCGATCTGACTTAAACTTATCTAGGTAGTAAAAACTTCCAAGGTTTTCTCTCTGCATAAAGCTTACATCTATCAAATGGGCTCATTATCATCGTTGGGAGGGAAATAAGAGGTACCACACCGTTATCATGGACGTACAGTGGTGTTCCATGAGTATTTGACCTTGGGTACTTCGGGTCCCACCTTAGGATCTGACCGCCATTCTAGACCGCCTACTGTATTAGTATATTAAATCTCGCGCGTCCTAAACACGCTAGCATATGCGCTGTATATTAACGCGTTTTGAAGAGATTTTCGCACTGTTTTCTTATTCTATATACTAAAACATGCCTCCTATACGTGGGAAAAGAGGCCCAGAGCTTGACTGTCTTACTAGAGCTAAGATCTGTGAACTGCATAGTACCAATGGTTGGGGTGCAACAACTATAAAAAAGAAGCGATTTCCAGATATTCCACGCTCAACTATTCAGTATACTCTTACTCAAGAGTCAAAGCGTCAAAAGCAACAGTCTTTAGCACGCTCAGGGGGGCCAAGGAAGCTTACTGAAGACGACCGTGACCATATATATGAGACTATACAACAAAACCCGTCAATCTTAGTCGCAGACCTACTCGCAGAGGTCGATTATAAGGTTAAACGTACCTCAATTTGGCGGCTGACCCATGAAATAGGCCTTCGAAAGTGGCGGAAAATGCAACGGCCTACTTTAACACCTCTATCTGCTGAAAAACGCCTTACTTGGGCGCGAAGATATGAGCACTTCACTTCTGAGGATTGGGCCCGTGTGTATTGGTCTGATGAGTGTACTATTGAACGTGGTATCGGTCAGCGTCGAGAATGGACATTTACCCGTCCAAAGGACCAGCTTTGGGAGCACGAAGAAGAGGGCCATCAAGTCCAAATGATACCAACCCGTGGAAAATAGATTAAACAGATGTTTTGGGCTGCCTTTTCTGGTCTTCCGCGACGCTCTGGTTTAATTCCATTATTTGGTGATCCTCAGTCTCGCCGCGGTGGTGTTTCATCTCGGACTATTGAAGAGCTTTACCGGCGTGTTCTTCCAACACTTCTTAATAGTATTGATCAAGATGCTATTTTTCAACAAGATAACGCACCGGTACACACTGCCTATATCATTCAGGGGACTCTTAATGAGCTTGGATGTGATATTATGGAGTGGCCTCCCTATTCGCCCGATTTGAATCCAATTGAGAACCTATGGGCGCTCCTAAAGGCCGAAATACTGAAGCGACACCCTGAGCTAATACAGCTCCCAAATAACGAAACTACGCTTGATCTACTAGTCGACGCTGCCCAGGAAGCTTGGGAGGGGCTAGATATTGAGATGTTTAAGCATCTATCTGATACTATGCCTCATAGAGTTGCTGATGTTATTAAATATGAAGGTTGGCATACTAGCTATTAAATTGGATTGAATTTTCGAGGTTTCTGCCTGGCAATATTAAAAGTGGGCCTGCAAAGTGGGCCCACGGCCGAAGTACCCAAGGTCAAATACTCATGGAACACCACTGTACATGGCGTGGGTTTCAAGCACGAAAAATAATCGCTATCTTTGTTTGGATTGAGGAGGAACTATCCCACCGCATGAGACCGGCTCTATTTTGATCCGACACCATGTCTTTTTATCAAACCGATAAAATGCGAAAAAAAAAAGGGGGCAATGAAAGACAGAATTTCCGATATCGTCCTTGGTCAATAGAAACTGGTATTTGACATCAGACAACCTCCTGACGCTATTCGACGTTCGAGACGTTCTGATCCCCAGCCTCCCTCTCACAAGAGATCTGTATTAACCCCGCGACCATGAGACTTCTGTGGTGGATGTGCTCCTTGACACACTTCGTGTCTCTTGTGAGTGCTGATTCCGATTGTATCGGTACATGGTGTGACACATGCCTACCCGTGACTATCCACGATGCACCGGGGGTTGGCTTCGATCTGACACCTCTATATGGGTAAGTATATCGATCCTTTATTTATTACAAACGCAAATATCTGATAACATCCAGGACGGCCGTGGTGAAGTATTACAATGGGACTTTTGTCGAGGTTGCCAAGATTCAGGGGAATCCGGAATACCTCAAGCTTATGGCACGCCTCGCTATATCCGAGCCAGTACTACAATCAACTCGAAATTTTATGCACAAACTTTCATCCTGCTTGGTGGAATATCTCTTCCCAAGCGTCTCGTCGCCCTGGAGAGACTGGTGGCGTCGGCTGAACATGAAACTAGGCCGACCGATAAAAGCAGATGGTGTCGAAATTATTAGTGATTTACTCCAAGAGCTGAAAATCGCCACCGAAAAGGCAATTTCCCAGCCTCTGGATCGGGTTGCTGTTACAGAGCCAGGTTTCCAGGCGCTGAGCCCGGCTATGGTTAACGCTGCACTCCGAGTCCTAGGTTTGCGCACATGGCTACGCGACAGCGTTTATTACCCCTCTCGCTTAGCGGAAGGAGATGCTGTGTATGCAGCGAATGGTTATGGTTTATGCATTAACTACCTAGATCGGTTCCAATGCGCGGATGAATTTGAACATTCGCCAGTTCCTACCGTTTTTGTGGTTTCCTACAACCACAATCTCTTATACACTAGTATCATAGACTATGCTACTAGTGAAGCTTTCTCTTTCATTTCAGGTCTTCAGGCGCAACTCGTGGACTACGACCTTGGCCTGGATAATCTTGTCAAGAATGACCAAGACCAAACCGCATTTTGGGATCGTCTCCGTTCACAACTCCAGATACTTCCTCGGGAGTCCGAATATACTATCACGCACATCCTGCTAGCTGGCGAAAGCGTCACACACCCTCGCTTCCTAGCTTTTCTTAGAGAATCTATGTCGAAACTGTCGCTTGATCCTGCGATGGCCAAAATTCAACTCGCCATAGATCCAACTTTTGCAGCAGCGCGGGGTGCAGCACTTTACGCACGAAGGCGTCAAGAGGTGCCGAGCGACTGCTATGAAAAATTGGAATGCAAAGAAATGAGGTTACGCGAGCGGTTACACACTTCCACGCGAAAGGAACTTCGGTAAAAAAAGTATAACGGTATTTAATAGCTATATTATCATGAGCGCTTTGGCTTCGCAGTATGAGTCATCGAATTTATTCCTTTCGCAAAGCAGCCTCAATCGGAGCAGGCATTTTTGGGCTGGCAACGGGACTCTTTGCGGCCGCTGTGTCGCGTCTTAATATACATTCACACAGCCTTCAGCTAAATAGAATCTTCCATCTATGTAACCACATAAAATACAGAAATGAAAGATAACAAGAATATCCCAACCAGAATGCCGTTGAGCCGATAGAACCATATTGTAGATCGGGAGCAGGCTTGACAACACGATAGCGACTATCACGTAACTGAGTAGAAAAAACCCTCACACTCACTGCAACGAGCCAGTTATGAGGGCTCGACTTGAGAGAACTAGTCTCAGTTAAGTGCTCGCAACCAGCACCGCAGGTTCACCATTAGATATAGAGACGCAAACCTTTCCGCTTTCATCGGCGGTGACTGTCCCCTCTCCAAGGGTATTCTTCCATGTCCCACCGGGCTTCTTAGTGTCGAAGCAGTGCTCGACTTCAGAGCCAGACCCGCCGTTCGACGTAAGGACAATGAGGTCTCCACCCGCCCTGCTCCACGCATATGCCGAGTCCGCGACGTACAAATGGACATGGTCGTTGTCAGCGAGGCCACCGGCAGCCGTTCTCGCCGCTGAGAGCAAGGATATGGTCTTATACAGGTCTGCATCGGTGCTGAAATTGCTGCGCCATAGGTCCTCGCGGTTTGCGGGGTCGTTGCCACCCGCATAGCCCTGTTCCGTGCCATAGTAAACAATAGGGATACCCCGAGCAAGGATCACGTAGGCGAGTGCGTTCGCCAAAAGCGACTTGTCGTTCTTGACGCTCAGCCAACGCGCATTGTCGTGGTTGTCTACGAATGTGCCTAGGGCACTAGGATCAGGGAAAGCGTTATCGATTTTATCGTGCATGTCAACAATGTCCTGGGAAGAGCCCTTTTGCTGGTAAAAGTTGTTCACGGGATAGTAAACTGCGTAGTTGAGCAGGCCGTCCATGTCGTTTGCATATCCGGCAAGATAATCTGGGTCACCGTCCCATACTTCGCCGATGGTGTAAACCCCGGCAGCGGAGGAGAAGGCCGACCAGAAGTCCTTTTCAACGTGCTTGACGGTATCGATGCGCAAGCCGTCGAACCCGTATTCCGTGACGAGCCATTTGACCCATGTCTGGAAGAGCTCCCGGATCTCGGCACTCTGTGTGTTCACATCAGGTAGGTCTGTTGCGATACGACAGTTCTCAATACTATCCTGGCTTGAGTAGTCGATTGTGCAGGCGGAATGGTAGGAGCTCTCTTGGTTCAATGGCTCTGGCTTGTTATCGCTGATAGGGCCTCCCATGTGGTTGGCAACTACATCTGCCATGACATAGATTCCCTATTTTCGAAGCTGGTCAGTACCTTCCGACTTAGACCGTAGGAACTATATAGATAATGCTTGCCTTCTCATGAGCAGAATCCACTAGGCTCTTGAGGTCATCCGCGGTGCCATAGTTCTCGTTGATGCTATAGAGATCCTGTGCCCAATATCCATGATATCCACCTGGCGCATCTGCAGAAATGGTAAGATGATCAGATTAGTTATGTCGCCGAGATAAGAACGGCATGAGGAACTATTCGAACTCACTAGCAATAACAGGGGTGATCCAGATTGCATCAAAGCCCATCCCCTTAATATAGTCAAGCTTGGACTCCAAGCCTTGGAAAGTTCCACCACAGTAGTTTCCAAGGTTTCCACAGGCATCTCCGCCTGTATCATCGCTTCCACGGGCAATGCGATCAGTTAGGGCAAAGTAAATATTGCGGGACTTCCAGGCTTTCACATCCGCTGCTGATACATTACATATCAGAGGGAGCAGAAAGGCTGTCAGGGTGTGGGACAGTTTCATGATTCAGGAAAAAGGGATGTCTCAAATTGTTGAACACTATACTGGGATACCCATTGGAAAGGAAGCTCGCCTTCTTTTATATCTGGATCTCCCAAGATGTTCACTCTCCGCAGCCGGGTTGCAAGACCTTAACATTTTATTGCCATGACCCTTGGCACGGGTTGCCAATCCTTTGCAGATGTTATTTCCCTCAAGTATATTGCATTTATGCTGAAGATCTCTCCTCATACAGTTAGCTCCCCGATAATAGGCCGACGGTCCCACTAGAGAAAAGCCGCGCAGTGCTCAGACCCTTGGTCCCTGAATCTCCGGAGCGGGATCTGCGCACAGTTTGCAGTTAAAATGGTTAGTCAAACGTCAATCATACTCCAAAGACAGCAACAAGTGATGAGAATGGTCCAATGTCGGCCCGAAACCCTGTGACGAAACGTCGAGGTGTGTCCTTTGGGCAAGTTATCACCATGGTTGCCTACCGCGGTGGAATTACAGGGTCTTTTCAACCTAGAAAATCCTCGGTTCGTAGATTGCAATTCTCTATATGGAGTACCAAGTACAGAACTACATAATGATAAGCTAGTCCGCACAGATTGGGAAAAGAGCGAATTTTTATTATTTTAATTAGAGCCATACATAACCAAATATGATTTTTGTCATAAGCTAATATTCGCAAGAGTCAAAAGTTTGTTATTATATTGAGACATCTAGGTACATGTTGGTATATAACACAGGGTAATTGTGATCGTGACGGTCTACTACATATGTATCCAAAGCAACGACACAACGGATGGCAACAATAACAATTAAATTCTGCTTTTCCAAAACTGCAGACCCTTATTGCAAGGATTCTGCTATTACTTGCAACATTAAGGTTCCACCCGTGGCTTGCGGGGGCGGCTGCTGTGATGACCAGTCTGCCAAGACTGTTGGTAAAAACACAAGTCCCCTCTTGTTGAGATATCCCATAGTCACCTAACCGTCCGGTATTGAACGACAACTAAATATTCAGACGAAGAATATCTGTAGGTCAATATCCGAAGACCATGTCCAAACCGTGAGCGCTAGGTGACCACGGTCATACGCATGCTGTATGGCTTTTATTTTACATGGCTTTCCGACAATATGGAAACAGAAAGTAGAAAGTAGACTAGAATGCTGAGGGACCATTTGAACCATAATCAGAAAGCTTTCTTGCCAGTTTTGACGGTGGTCGGGCGACCACTTGCGTGTAAGGCGCCCAGTGACGATTGGAGCAGGTTCTGTCGTCCCCCGAAGGTCGCAAAAGGGAAACTACAATGGGTAGTTCTTCTGTTTCGCCCGTAATAACAGATTCATAAGGAATTTGAGAGACTGGACAATTTTGGTAAGCAAATTAAGGATTTCATGGGTCCAAGGTATAGGCCGATCTAAAAGAAAAAGTTGAAGGAAAGACCTACTTGGGATCACCAGCTCAGGAGCTCCTAATATCGCCTCAAGGAATTTTGGTCGAATACCAGGTACATTTGGGTTGTCATTTGCCGGGATATTGGTTTCGATATCTTAGTTCGACTTTGTCGATATGCAAAGCAATGATAGTAGTTTTCGATTCATCATTTCCTCATGCTCCTGTAAAGTTACTTGGCTTCCGAGAGTCCTATTTATTGTAAGTATTGGACACAATCATCGAATGAGGCCATATTCATACCAATACCATTTTACGACTTCGGTCACAAATGGAGCATGGCCGTGAATTGCTTGATATCTTTGCCTAAAGTCTTCAAATTAGTGAGTAATACCAGCCATGAAGCGTTGTCTATTATCATGCTTTAGCGACAGCTAGGAGTCTAGACTTGACAGATCTTTCTTTCAAGAAGAGGCTTCTGAGAATCGAGAAACCGCGCTCAAAGAAAGGGAGGACCTATTTGGTCCTAATGATCGCCAGTCTATGATGTGTGTATTTTTAAACCCAATTCAATAGCACAAAGAAGTACACCAACTGGCATGCAGTACATACTGGTTAGGTTTTATATGGCTTTGGAAATGTTCGACCTAGTCAGGGTCTTCTTGGCGAGAGTCTAGCCTATCATCAACGGGCTTTACTGCACTTCAAGGAAACTGTTGGGAATAATCGCCATCGCACTGGAAACTCGTTTTTTCAAAGTTTCCGAGCACCTGGGCACCACCATCAGATTGGGAATCCAACAGAAGCCATGTTAGTTTGATATAACACGCTGGGATATTTTGGAATCCACGACTAATATAATTGCGCAGTGAGTTGTTAGATCATATGCCTGAGGCACCAATATGTTCAGCCTAAGGCTGCAGTTATGATCTCCTCGGGTTGAAGGCAGCATATTGATATATAATGCTTATTTTCATTTTTATTTTGCGAGGACCCTGTCATAACCTCCCAAGAAGATGATTTACACGTGTCAATAGGACAAGATATGGAAGACATGGAAGACATGGAAGATAATGTGGGAAAAGCAAAAGAGCAACTTTCCCCGCGGATGAACATTGGCACCTCCACATTTCGTCCAAAAGGGGAATGAACTCCACCCCCAATTACGGGGAATATTACTCTTTACTATTGCATCTCCAAGCCTTCTGACATCAATGCAGTCGTACAATCAAACTATGTGGGGGTATCAGAGTCAGCACCGATTTATTTGCATTCTGGTTGGATGTTTTCACTACGTGATGCTCATAGTATACCTACCCCTCCAGAAGTATACCCCTCCATAACCACGGACAACCGGCGTGCGAGGGATATAAGATAGCATCGCCCTACCTGTCCAAATATTCGAATTAAACTTCCTCATTACATTCAGTTCAACATGGTCGGCATCCAAGTAGACAACCTCGCTGTCAATGACGGCCCCTTGACAACAGAGAATGCCACCCTCCTCCGCCCCTCAGAACCAACCCTCCCCCTCGAAGAGCTCCGCAAACGATACGACGAGGACGGCTACCTCTTACTAAAAGGAATCCTCCCCCGCGAGGACGTCCTCGCCGCCCGCGATGCATACTTCTCCTCCCTGGAATCAACTGGAGTTCTCAAACCCGGCACAGCACCTGTTGAAGGTGTCTTCGACCCCGCCAAGAACCATTTAGACTACCCTGGTATTGGAGCAGGACATGTTGGTGGGAACGGCAAGCCTGGTGGTGAGCGAGCAGCAGCTTTTGTTGACCTTGCTCTCGATGCACACTACCAGGACTGGTATGCAAACAAACTCTGTAATCATCCAGCGCTGTATGATTTCATTGCGCGCTTCTCGGATTGGGGAAATAATACATTGAGCTTGCGTCGCACGCTTCTCAGGAATAACCTCCCTGGTTCGAAGCCGATTGGGGTGCACTATGATCAGATCTTCCTCCGGTATGGAGATCCCACCAGTATCACTGCTTGGGTCCCCATGGGAGATATCAAGCTCAATGGGGGTGGATTGATCTACTTAGAAAATGGTTTGTTTTGGCCCCCCCCTGTGTTTGGTTAAGGTTTCTTGGAGAGAACCTCTGTATACTAATTGGTTTTGCGCAACAGGCGACAAAATTGGAGTTGAAATGGAAGAAGCCTTCTTTACCAAAGCGAAGCAGGCTGGGATGACCGATGAAGAGGCTAAGTCGGCTTTTAACTCCAACATGATGTCTACAGGCCTGCTATCAGAGTTCCCGGCTGAGTTTGCTCGGGAGCATGGTCGACGATGGATGGTGTCGGCGTATGAGGCGGGTGATGCGGTTTTGCACAAGCCTCATATGGTAAGTTTCTTATTCTTTACATGGAAAGCCTGCGTTTACTGACCCTTTGCTCAAGATCCATGCTTCCACTGTCAACAATGATCCGGATAATGTTATCCGTCTTGCGACAGATCTACGGTTCTGCGACTCGTCCAAGCCTTATGACAAGGTAAGTTTTATTGAATATCTAAAGCAAGCCTAAGCAATGAGAGACGGTGACTTATCTTTTTTTTTTAAACAGAGATGGACGAACTTTTATGCGTTCAACGACGGCGTATAGGGTGTTATTGGAATGGAGGGAATATTAAGCCCAGGATCAACAGGGTTTTTTGTTTCGTTATGAAAGGCTTCTTCCGCGGTTTGAACGTTGAAGTAGTCCATGCAAGCCTCCAATCACAATGTAATTTTAATTTTTGATACGGATTTTGGAAGACTGTAAAAAGAGAAAGAGAACGCGCTGATTGGGCAGAAGTTGCATAGGAGACAAGTTGAGACAAGAGCAGTATCACTCCCACATTCCAGTCACTCTAGATTGTAGTTCCGGAGTCCTTTTGTCTTAGCAGAATCATTATGATCTAACAAGGGCGCACTTGATTCGCAGGAGAATTTGTCTCTGGAATGTCTTCTGTCATTGTTGGGGATCAACACCCCTAGATCCACGAAGGAACGCTTTGCTCAACAAGTCATTAGTTTGATACAGTGCTAAAGCAATCCAATAAACTAACAGCTCCTTCGGTCTCTCTCTAAGCTGAAGGAAACAACATTTGAATTGATCCACCAGAAAAAGTGGAAGATATACCAGGGGTATGAATATCAGCATTCAAGTACTATAAAGCCTCATTCCAAACGATAAAAAAACTGGCACTGGTATTTCGGTAATTTCGGTAGTCCCCAAAATAGGGTCGCAGATCGGCCTCCCAGGCGTTGAATCATATAATAGTCGCGACGCTTGAGATTCGCTTGTTCCATATCAGCAGGGAAATACCCCGTTTCAAGCACTCACTTCATCGCAACATACGGTTGAATCCATACAATATGGTGCAAGTTATTCCAAGGGTATCATGGCTCTCAGTCCTGGTGGTGGCACTGCTGGCAGTGTCTACTGTCAACGCGCATCCAATCCACCAGACAGATGAAGCGATGGAAAATGGACAATCTAACAAGCTTGAATCTCGGTCGCCGGTTAGTCACTCAGATATGGCACCTATTCTATCATCGAAAGAACACACTGCTAACAAAAATACAGAGACTTCTTCCAGACACCCAGAAGTACGTCCATGACCTCTTGCAAGGGTTGGGCCTGCAAGAGCCAACCCCAACCGCAACCGCAACATCAACTCCAACCGCCACGCCCACTGCCAGTGTGGAGACCAAACAGGACTTGGATAACATGAAGCCAACACAAACCACGCACATTATCTACTCTAGCTCCACCAGCTACACGCCCACTTATAGCAGCGATGGGGCGGGATACACTCATACCGTGAAACACGTCCACAGCAACAACAAACCAATCGAGAACATCCAGATTGGGCAGGGTTGGAATGGGGATAAGAAAATTACAACCGAGGATATCCCTGTAGTGTTTGATACTTTGTATAGGGAGTTGGAGCATCGATTGAAGAATATGATTGACAGCTCTGATGAGATTGGATTGGAGGACTTTCTGTGATGAGGATGTTCAATGTTACGAATACGGAAGGAAATGATAGATATTGATGTTGATTCTGGAAAATGTGAACTTGAAAGGCTATTTTTGTTTCCGATTTTATACTTCGTACTACTAGCTTGGATGTAATTCTATTTGTTTCTAGCAAAGACCTTCAAGGTTCCTAACCATAAGTGCGGTTACTTTACTCAAGAACGCAATGTCATGATCATTACTATAATATCTTATGAAATGGTTATAGCCCAAGTTCTAGTTCTTAGTGATACATGGAAGATACTTCTCATAGGGGTTGAGCTCAGACCATTGTGGTTGTCTTAGGATAGACAGCTAAATCCAACGTAACATGCTTTCGGTCCTCATTCCTTAAAAAAACCCACGTTGATCAAGCACAATATTCATTAATTAGCTAGTTTCTTCCAGGCAAGCGCAGAATTTGACAAAGATTTCTACTTACCGTAACAGCCAATGGCTAGCTGACTATAAATCACAATGTAATACACAGCATGCAAGTTAGTTATATATTTCTCATTGAACGTAGAATGAATGAACTAGATACATAGAATATACCTTAAAGAATAAAGAGAAACTCTTGAATGGATCACCGCGGTCCTTGTTGAAAGGACCTATGGCCTATCCCAACAAGACCCAAAATATCGCATCCACTTCGAAGAGCTACCTCCAGATTAAATCCAGCTTAAAGCAGACCAGTGCTCACGGGTGATCCTTCGGTTAACCTCCACAGTATCCCAACCTCCTTCCCATGAAATCCGTGCATACTGGTCGCCCTTGAAAACGTAATAGCTGCTGCCATTGGGGGTCTTGAAGATGGCATCGATGGAGTCGAAGCCGGCTTTACCAATACCAGGCCAGTAGGAGGTGATTGGCTTTGGTCCCGCCACAACCTTGTTTTCCTTGTAGCTGTACTTCAAAGACTGTGTGCCCCGGAAGAAAAACAGAATGTCATCATTTCTGGGATCAGGAATGGCCGCGTCCACGGTATCAAATCCAGCATCCACCAGAGGCTTCCATTCCGACTCGATGGTCTTGACACCACTGTACTGAAGGGTGTCCTTCAGGCTATTGGGGTCGATGGTGGCTCGGAAATAGTGGCCTCCGGCAAACACGTAGAAGGAGTTCGGAACGCCAGGAACTTGGGTCACAGCGTCGGCACTACCCCAGTTTGCTTCTCTGAATGTGGACCATTCCTCACGCACGAAGTATGGGGCCCTAATGAGCTTGTCCTGAAAGTTACTATCAAGCTCGATAGTGGCATACTTTATGCCCGAGAAGAAGTAAAATTGTCTGTCTTGACCTGGCTTGCGAATGACGGCGGTAACCATTTTGTCGATGTAGGTAATGTCAGAATACTAGAGGGTTCTCAAACTTGAGTTGGTAGGAGATGTTCGATAGTTGGGAGAGTGCAATCTGAATGTTTTCTGTGGTTTCTGTCCCCGTATATATACTATTCCTTCGGCCTGACCAAGACGTAGAAAGACTCATCACTACCTAGGTAGCATGCTGGGTACCATAGCGTTGTACACAGTGGTCTTGCGCTATGCATCGAACACCAGAGTGCACATATCTTGTCTATGCAAACGTAGACTGCACGCACGAAATCGAGCGACGTGGGCCAGTTATCTTTTGTTGACAGGAGATTACCATTATAAATCCAACCTGATGTATCAATATTTATCACACCGCAATTGATCAGCAGCTGTTGGTATGGTGTCATGGCGACCTGATGGATATATGTGGATGTACGGAATGCATGTATCCTACTCTCAGCCAGCCACGAACGGCACGGCCCGGCGCCTAAAAGACCCCGCCGATCAAAGGACCAGCCTACATGGTTTGAATCAAGGTGACATTTACCGGGGAAAGAAATTGAGGTCTAGTTCAGGACTTCGGTCATTCTCGAATTTGCGGCCATGCGGGCCAAATTATATGAAGTAGGCAGCTCCGCAGGAAAAAGAAACAAGATCGTCGCGGTGAGGCTTCCATTGTAGCCATTTTCGCTAGACAATTTTGTGTTAATTAACAACGCGCTGTAATAGCAATAGCAGCTTGCAAGGCATCATCACTTCGCCCGTATGGGGTTCAACGCTAAACTCCCTTAACTCCGTTCGTTCTCCGGTCACAACTCCGATCATCAATACAACTCCGTAGGCTATGCCCGAAGAACACACAAGAAGTTCGGATTAGAAGTCATTACCATGAGGATTTATCTAGACGGACTAAGTGATCGCACGAAACTCGTGGTAACAACCTGGGAATATCCTTAACTGCGATCAATCTAACCCGACGGCGGGGCACTATCTTGAAAACCATAAAAGACCAACCCGCCACCAATTTCGACATTCAACCAACTGTCTCATCTCTCTAAAGTTTCCAAACCCATCTTTTATATTTGATAATGCCTTCTCTACTTGGAAAGGAAGTCGGCCCTATTGGCTATGGCACCATGAGTACGATTCCCCCCGCAAACACCACAGCTGGCTGGCCTTATGCTAACCATCAAATCAGGAATGACCTGGAACGCGCAGCCTCCTTCCCATGAGGTGTGCTTTGAGACACTTAACACTACCCTGGAACTGGGTGCCAACTTCTGGAACGCTGGCGAGTTGTACGGCACTCCGGAGTACAACTCTCTGCACCTGCTTAACAAGTACTTCGCCAAGTACCCTGAGAACGCAGAGAAGGTTGTCCTCAGTGTCAAGGGTGGCTTGAAGAAGGGCGAGCTTGTCCCGGATGGCTCGGAAGAGAACATCCGTCGTAGCGTGGACGAATGTCTGCGTCTGCTTGATGGCAAGAAGAAGCTCGACATTTTCGAATGCGCGCGACAAGACTCTGCTTTCCCCGTTGAGGAGACCATCAAGGTCCTCGCACAGTATGTCAAGGAGGGCAAGATTGGAGGAATTGGATTGAGCGAGGTTGATGCCGAGACGATCCGCCGAGCGTATGTGTCTCTAATTTTTGATTCTATGGTCTTCATGGGGACTTCTTATAGACAAACTCAACTCTAACTGCTTCTCTAGACACAAGGTGCACCCAATTGCTGCAGTCGAGGTTGAAATGTCCTTATGGTCTACTGATATTCTCCAAAATGACATTGCCAAAACCTGTGCGGAGCTCGACATCCCCGTCATCGCTTACTCGCCTCTTGGCCGAGGTGTTTTGACCGGAGCTGTGACCTCGCTGGCCGATATCCCCCACGATGATATTCGGCACCACATGTCCCGGTTCCAGGAAGATAACTTCAAACACAACCTGAAACTCATCAACGAGGTCAATGACCTTGCTGCTCGCAAAGGTGTTGCTCCTGCTCAGATTGCACTGGCATGGATCCGGACCAAGAGTAGCAAGCCTGGCATGCCTACTATTATCCCCATTCCTGGCGGTACTACGAAGGACAAGGTGGTTCAGAACATGGGCGGTGCACAGGCGCTGACGGATTCTGAGATGGCTGAGATTGATGCGATTTTGGAGGATCACACGGTTTCTGGGCCTCGGTACTAGGGATTTTCTGTAGAATATCTTTCGGTTTATTAGACACAGATCATAACAAATGAGAAGATGTTTGTATGCCAATGGGTTGCTGTATAGGTCAGATCAAGTGTAGAAGAGTCAACATACAATCGCACATGTGATTGGTGATTGTCAGTATTGCAAATTCATTAGACTCTGATCATCATGTAGTATGTATGGCAGTTGAGGATGTTCGGTGTTGTGTAATGTTCATTGTATAGGGCGGGTAATGTGCAAAGAGGGCAAAGGCAAGCTTACCATTGGGTTAGTGCGGTCCACAATAGAGATAGGTCTGTGCATTAGTGAATAAATCAACACGGGATCTTAAGAGATAACAGCTAGGATGAGAAAGACAATAAGCACGGTCAATCCATACATGTAAGAACAATGGAGGAAGACAGAGGATGGTGTTCAGTTGTGACCAGCTCCGAGTAAATCACGTGATTCAACTTATACTCCTCGGCCGAAACACGTGATGTGATACGATAGCCTCCCTCGCGCGACATCTACGGCGTAGCTAATAGACGGATCCAATTTGTTTGCTGCCACTTCCCCCTTTCTGTACGAGGTATACCATCCACAATGGCTTCACGAGACTCTCCCGGCTCTCCTCTCTCCTCGGTGGGATCCCTCGAGACTTCAGATCATGAATCCATGAAACATGAAAGCCGCGCGCATTCGCCCTCGATGTCCAACTTGCCGCCGTCCAAGCGTCGTCGCACCGGCGTCGCGTCCTGGGACCGTCAGACTCCTCTTTCCTCGGCTCAAGACGAAATCCACCCACCCCCCCTCCCCGACTGCCTCGATCTCCTCCGATAGCTCTGGCGATATTCCCAACTCCCCCAGCATCCTTAGCCTCCTTGGCACCAATCAAGAAGAAGACTACAGCGGCCAAAGCACTGACCAGGTCACCATCTGCCGATGGGATGGATGTAGCGCTGGCGACCTCGGCAACATGGATGGGTTGGTGCAGCACCTCCACAATGAGCACATCGGAAGCCGACAGAAGCGGTACTCGTGCGAGTGGAACGATTGCACCCGCAAAGGTCAAACCCATGCTAGTGCCTATGCCCTTCGCGCACATATGAGAAGCCACACCCGCGAGAAGCCCTTCTACTGCACTCTACCCGGTACGTTGCGACCCAGACCCGAGCCCTCGAAACGGGGTATCATGTTGATGGATCTCGAGTACTAACAATGAACTATAGAGTGTGACCGCAACTTCACCCGCTCCGATGCCCTGACCAAACATATGCGCTCTGTTCACGAAACAGACACCATGCGCCCAATTGATTCCATCTCAAAAGTCCACGGCACCCCGGGCAGCACCACCGGCACCCCAGCCTCGAAGCTGCAACGCATCCGCCTGAAGCTGACCCAGCCCAGGGAGCCGGGAACCGAGTCCGAACCACACACCGAAGCAATCACTATTGTTCCGCACCCCATCACAACCGACACACATGATCCCGAAGAGACCTCGATGCCAGAGTTTGGCCCGGATCTTGACTTCGACGAACCGGAGCTCGCCCTACCCCCGCGCGAACTCTACCGTCTCCTCCGTCGACAGATCGCGTGGGCTGGCAAGGAGGCTACACAGCTGCAAGCCGAGTGGGAGACAATTCGCCCACAGCGTGAGCGCGCATGGCGCGAGAAGGAGGCTATCTTTGACGACCTTATTGACGCCGAGATTGGGCTGTTCAGTGCCATGGTTGGCTCCGTACCACCCGCACACCTGACGACTAGCCTTGAAAAGCTGCAACAGCAGCAGCAGCAGTTCCAAGATCAACAAGACCAGCTGGTGAAGTCGGCAGAGGTGCCGACTGTCGAGGGCAGCACTTAGCTGGCGTATTTCTCCTTCTCTTTTATTTATCCTTCTACTTTGCTCCTCCTTTTCTCCTCAGCCCTCTGGGGCCATGCTGAGCTAGCTTGGCCTCTGTTCTGCGTCACTTTTCAGTTACCGTTTCATTTGTTGTCCCCTCATATCCCGGCGTGCATGGTGTTGGTGAGTTTCGTTGTTTTTTTTGTTTTTTTTTTTTTTTTTGTATTTTCAAACCCAGGCAGAAGAGAGGTATCTTGCAACGGAATGTATGAATAGTCTTTTTTGTTTGTTTACTTTTTTTTGGTATGGCTTGCAGGCCTCGCTCGCTCAATGACAGTTCACTACTATAGGAGATCACTACAATGACATTGTCAATAATCTTGGTTTTCGCCTTATATGGGCATTACAATGCAAAACTAGACAGAGGAGTCCATGTGACAGTCGTTAATAGGGATATGTATTTCCATGTAGAGCATCTTCATTTTCTTTTTATCGCCATGGTTACGTACGTATTAAAAAGTCCTCTGCGCACATCTTCACATCCACTTAAAACACATTAGAGTGTTTTTACATATAAAGTCCCTAATATCGCCTCAGGCCAAATATATCGGCGTGCGGGATTGTTAAAGTCTTATGGCGTCTAGGATAAAGGCCGCATGGGCGGCTAGCTATTCTTATACATGCAATCTTTAAATGGATGAGTAATACATACTGCAGGCAAAATGCCCTTGTCTTACGTTGGTTTTAACCGAAAATAAGAAGCGGAATGTCAAATAACACGCGCTCACTGAATGATCACAGAAAGATGAAGGAAATCAGTTGACGCCATGGCAGCCACTCCATAAGATACATGGTGAGAAAGAAAACAAACTGCCCTTGATTACGGATGCCTCCATAGGAACCTTGAGTCCTGGTATGCTCACAACATATAGGAAAAAGCAAACCAAAGCAAAGGGGATATTATATGATTGACTCAAACCAGGCAAAGAAAAGACCATGGAGAGCCAGTCCAAAACTCCCCCATTGAAAAGAGGAAAAAAAAAAAAAGAAACCCCCAAACACGCCATGCAGTGATCATCCAAGACCGTCGGTCATGCCCATTTTAGATATTCTTCTGTCTGTGCTTTTGGCGCTCACACAAAGAAGTTGACGCCATTCGCAATGCCGTGCAACAAGTTGCATCCATATGTACCTTCAACGAACAAAGAGCAAAAGAGAGAGGTGGAGGTCACCTTAATGAGGACAGCTCAAGGAATTGTGCGAGATGTTGGAAGATGACAATAACAACGACTGCAAAACCTTGAGTCCAATGCAAGAATACCAACATAACGTAGTCCAACATTGGGAGTGGGAACATTGTAGAAGGAGGAGAGGGAGCAGAGATTGCAAAGAAATACGCTGAGTGTCTATCATCAAAGAGAACAAAAAAGAAAAAGGATAGGTAGATATCTGATATCAGAAACGCTGAACATGCATGTCATCAAACCGTGCTAAAGTGAAGTTGAACTGAAACAAAGAACACCTGTACCCATTGTGCCCATGAGATAGGGAACTCAAGCCGAGCTGCCATTAGAAGCCTTGGAAACTTTACTGGCTTCCATGACCTTATTGAACATCTGCTGCAGCTTAGCACCACTAGCGTCTTTATTTGGCCAGTAGTTGAGTGAAACATAATCCCTACAAGTCAAGTCAGGAAGTGAAAGATAAGTGTAACGGAAAAGAGAACTTACCATAGTCGGACCTCCAAGGAGGGCATCGATTGCGAGCCCTCCAGAGTATTGCGAATGAATTCTCCAATCTTCACAAGGGTAAGACGGAGTTTCTGGGCACGCTCGTTCTTGCTTGGGTAATTTTTGGCAGTGATCATTGATACTTGTTTCAAATTGGCAACAATAGGTTTGAAGAACATGAACGCCATGTCTTCTTTATTAGAACCGCCGTTCTCATGACCTTTGCGGCGACGAAGCTCGTCATTAGAGGCGTCCGATAGACGATGGCGTGGACGATCAATATCAAGACTAGACCGAGGACGAGATTCATGGCTAGGAGTACTGTGACGGTCTCCTTCCCGGCCACCATGCGTGTGGGGGCGGGGCCGTGATCGATCAGATTCACGATGGCCCTTGCGGGGATTCTCAGGCCTGCGGGAACTGGAAGGCGCCGGTGAGGCAGAGACACTGCCACTACCGGAAACCCGTGAGCCACGCTTATTGTTGCGGTGGTGGTTGTCGACTGCCCTTCTTGCTGTGGCATTGTTATTGAACTTGTTTCTCAAAACAGACATGAGGTATTCAGCCCGTCGAACAAGGTGGACAGCGCCCGGTGATTTTGTTGCCTTCTCCTCGGTTTGCAGGCGTTGTGTCTTTCGCTCCACTCGGTGTTCCTCAAGGAAGAATTTATCACCGAGGCCAAGCTCAGTATCATCGCGAATCTGGGTCCACGCACCGAACCCATGGCGTGCGATACCCACAAGAAGCATTCCGTCTTCACGTGCACCCCACTGGCAGCTGTAGTCCGCCAATTTGGTAGCCTCGGGGAGCCGGAATGTTTTGAAATCAGGCAATGCTTTGATGATGCTTCGGATAAGGCGCATATCCGGTGGACGCTCCACGATAGTCCATGCGTTGAGTCGTTTGACACCGTGGTGGTCGAACAAGACGGCCTTCTGCTCTTTCTTCGTCGGGTTCCTACCTGATTGTTTCATGGCCTCTAATTGATCTAGACTTGCCTGGACAAGCGAGTTTGCCTTTTCGGTAATTTCATGAAGAGCGTCACGAACGGTACCCCGATCGCGAGTTTGTAACCTGGCATCCTCAAGGATGAGGTCTTCAGAGTCATCCAGATCGCCGTACCGAAGGAAAGCTCGAGAAAGCGCACGGTATTCTTTTTCTCCCAGGGGGCGCTTGGGATCCAACGAGGTACTCTCTTCCTCGCCATCATCAATGTTGACTTGAGCCCTTGCTAGGCGTTTCGCCTTGCGTTCCTCTCGTGAATCTGTCGTGTCCGTTGGGGCATGACGCTTGCGGGGTCGATTTTGCTCAATGACTTCAGCAAGATAATGGGCATCATCTTTGCGCTTTTCCTCCGCCTTGAGCACTTCGAGCTGTTCCTTGGGAATGATATCGTCCCACGTGAGATCGTCAACTTTGATGTCGACGAAATCGAATGCTTTCAAAAATTCCTCGCCACCGTCAGCTTGGATTTGCTCGGCCTCTTCAGTTTGGTGTAATTCTGCGTTTGCAAGGACGGAATCGATATCAAGCTGCTCGAGTTTCTTCTGGTTGTCGGTTTGCTCGAACATCTTCTGACCGCGGCGCTTGAGGATCCGAGAGATATCGTCTGTGGAATTAGGCTCGGCAACCACGCGAGCCATCTTGTTTTGCATCTCCGAGGCTTCCTTGTCTGTGACACCACGCTGGATGGTGATGAACTCGAGCAAAAGCTTGTTGCGAGCTCGTTCAATGACTTCTTCCTCGATCGTGTCCTTTGAGACAAGGCGGTAGACGCTTACGGGCCTTGTTTGACCGATTCGATGAGCACGCGCCATAGCTTGCAGATCAGCCTGGGGGTTCCAATCCGAATCAAACAGAACGACAGTGTCTGCAGTCATAAGGTTGATACCGAGACCACCTGCGCGGGTTGAGAGAAGAAATGCAAAGTCGGTGCTACCAGGAGCGTTGTAATGCTCAATTGCCAAGCGACGGGCGGCAGACGGGATAGTTCCATCAAGCCGTTGATATTTGTAACCACGGTACTCCATATACTCACTTAGGATGTTAAGCATGCCAACCATCTGACAGAAGATCAAAACTCGATGGCCATCAACGCTCAACTTACGGAGGAGTTGGTCCAACAGCATCATCTTTCCACTGCTGGTGATCATAGCTCGAAGGATATCTTCTCGACGACTACTGCCTTCCAGAATCTTTGCTTCTGCGTTGGGGAACATAAATGGGTGGTTGCTAGCCTTCTTCAATTCCATCATGATGTTGAGAAGAGACTGCTTCATTCCCTTGTTCCCGTCATTTAGCGCAGCATAGTTTTTTGTCAAGATGTTCTTGTAGTATTCCAATTGGACATCGGAGAGCTCCACTCGAATGATCTTCTCAGTCTTGGGGGAAGATCCGACTCAACCTTGGACTTAGTACGCCGTAACATGTAAGGTTGAATGGCATTTGTTAATTCCGCAAGTTTTTGAGACGCTGCCTCGGCATTCAAATCCATGTCGACGTCGACTTCAATGAGGCCCGGATTGAGGAAATCCATCAGTGCTGAAAGTTCAGCAAGGTTGTTTTGGATTGGGGTACCGGTGATCAAGAGCCGTGCCTGGCATTTCCATTCGAACAACTTTATATAGAGTTGTGAGTCACGGTTTTTGAGACGGTGTGCCTCATCCACTGCCATGAATTGCCACTTGAATTGGCCGAGGAACGGTGAATCATTCATGGCATACTCGTAAGTAGTCAACAGAACGTGGAACTTTGGACGTTTGGGATTCCCATCGACCATCAATTCGTAATCGCGCAAAACGGAGCGTGCCTTTTTCACTACCGTTGTAAACAACGTAGTTCAGGTCCGGTGTCCAGTGATCGAAGGTATCAGCCCATGCTGGCATAGTAGACAGGGGAACGATGACAATGAATGGCCCTTGCTGCCGCCTGACATGGCGCATCCAGTTGATGAATGAAACAGTTTGGACTGTCTTTCCGAGACCCATCTCATCTGCCAAAACCACATTGCGACCTCTGACCCAGTTGAAAGCCAAGAAGTTTAGACCTTTGACTTGGAAGTCCTTAAGTTCTCCATTCTGCAAGAAACTAGGGGTGCCGTGGATGGGTTCGAAGGATTTACGGGTGGCAACATTCATCTCGTTCTTGTCGGAGATGGGTTGGCGAGCAGTGCGGTCCAAGAACCGGTCAACCTCACGCTGTGCGATCTCACTAACCAGGTCCTCGGGTTCCCAAGTGCAGGAATCGTAGAAGAGACGTTTCCATTTGACAAGGTATTCCGTGGCGCCGTCATCACCATCACGTACACCAATGACTCGTTCAACATTTTTGTAGTCCTCTATGGCCTCGACGTCTCGTTCGCGATCGAGATTCCACTTTTCGCGGTCTTCAGGAGCGGCGTCGACATTATACTGCAACCGAATATCCTCATTGAGCACTTTCCGAACATAATTATCCACGCGCCGCGTGCTGCGGAAGTTGGAAATAGATTCATTGCTTTCCCAAGTAGCATGATAGTGTGATTTGTCCTGCCACTTGATGCAAAACTCAAAGTCCTTGCGGTCGAGATGATGAGATTTTGGGTCGATGCCCTCCTTGAGGCGGTGATTCAGGACGACATCGACAGCAGGGCGAGTGTCCTCCACATAACTCTCCGCCCAGTAGTTCGGTGCAAGATCTTCTGGGTCTTCTTCAAACATGGCTTCATCTTCCTCGTCATCCTCGTTGTAATTTGACACCTTCTTTGCAGTCCGTGTTGAGAAGCGAACCTCGCCCATTGAAGGTTCATAGCTAGCAGTTTGTTGGAGACGTCGCCTTCTCGCTTTGCTAGCGCGAGCGCTCTTTCCACCATACTCATCACTGTCCGACTCGGATAGTGAGGACACAGTAGCCGATCGGGAGGCCTTAGAAGGTTGTTGGGATGGATCTTTGCGCCGACGCTTGGTGCGTGGTGCAACATCATCCGAGTCTGAATCGGATGAGTCGGCGATATGGCGCGTCGTACGAGCACGACCACTTCGTCGAAGTCCATACAAATCGGGATTTTGTCTAATCAGGTCGGTTTCGCTAACCGGTGACGATTTGCGCTTCGCACCGCGGTCGGGGTGAGGGGATGAAGAGTTTTCACGGCTGTATGCGTTGGCGTCATAGTCGCTGTTGTCCTCCGCTACGTCCTCATCCTCCGCATCTGAATCAGCAGACGCGCCGTCATATGAGTCGTCCGCGGCATCGGGTTCGGGGGAGGACTCGGAGACGGGGTGGGACTCCATAGGTTCGGACGGACTGCGTTCACGTTGGGATACCGCATCGCCATCCGCGTGGGTATCGTCGGCGACGGGCGAGATAGGGTAGCCATTAGACATCGTCGAGGTGGAAGGGTGTTCCTGAGCAGATGGGATCACCATGCCAGAGGCTATTACCGAGGGGCAGTCAGCATTGAAGCTCGATTTAGGCTAGGAGGGGCATGAAAGAGATAGAGACGGGTAAAACAATGGCACGCGACCCAAATTGCGGTCAAATAGAGCCTAAAACCTAGCAGAATGGGACAGGATATTGACTTTGATGAAAGAGTATGTTTTTTGATAACGGGTGGGATAGACGCGGTCAGGCTGGAAGCCAAAGCAATGGACAGATTGGTACACACAACCAGACTCGGAGAATGCAATGACACACTGCTTGATCGATGACAGTTGAAAACTGTCCCCGTCGGAACAGAATAGAGGGATTCAAGGATTCGTGCAGTGGGTCGACAAGCGCGGAGAAGTACCGCGGCGAAGGCTTCGGTCGGCACGTCTGTGCTTGAGGAAAAGATTAAATCACTTACACTCCATAGCGTGGTGACCCCGAAAGCGGGGGATCTGTCGATCAATGTGGGAAAGTAAATGGTGGGGGGGAGGCGTGAAGCTGGAATCTTGGGGGAGGAGGAGACGAGAGACTTGGAAGAACTAAGAGATGGGGACTGACTGGAGGGTTTGCTTCGGTTTGGTTTGCAGGGAAAATAGACACCCGATATATCAGGCATAAATGGGCTTGACCTTATTGGAACTAGCGTATTCGCTTGGCGCCTGACACAATGTCTCATCACGTGGCCTTCGGATCTCGGATAAACAGCTAGTCCGAGCCCAGCCCAACAGCCAATCACCGCCTTGATAAATAAGTGACGCAGCTGTGGCCTAAGGCATCACAGCCCACAGAAAGCAAAGTGCATTCAATTCTGCCGCCCCTCGTTCGTTGATAGTAGTGTTTCTTCCTGTCTTCTTTCTAATTGAGTCTGCGCAGAGATACTTGGTGCTTTTCCTGAGCCCGGTTCATTTACCTGCGACAGCGCTTATTCGGCCGATTCCAACCCTCCACCCCTCCTCCACTTTGTGCTGATTCTTTTTTTTTCACTCCGCTTCATACACACGGTTTCTTTGAACCATATCCGCCCACCATGTCTGAGAAGCTTACTCGGTATGTTTCTGGAGAATTTGAAGTCCCATATCACTAGCTAACGATATATTTCTTTCTATAGTATTGCGATCATCAACAGTGACAAGGTTCGTCGCGAAATCCCCCCACTAATAGGATTTTCTCCCCGGTTCGTGAATGCCTGGCTCACAATTCATCTCTCCAACTTTACAGTGCAAACCGAAGGTACGCGATTCGATACAATATTCCATGGTGCTCGCAGAGGCTGATTAGTTATAGAAATGTCGTCAAGAGTGCAAGAAGTCTTGCCCCGTGGTCCGCACCGGCAAGCTTTGCATTGAAGTCGATCCCACTTCGAAGATCGCCTTTATCTCCGAGCGCCTGTGCATTGGTTGTGGTATCTGTCCCAAGAAGTGTCCATTCGGAGCCATTCACATCATCAACTTGCCCACCAACCTCGAGACCCAGGTCACCCACCGTTACTCGGCCAACAGCTTCAAGCTTCACCGACTTCCCATGCCCCGTCCCGGTCAGGTTCTCGGTCTGGTTGGAACAAACGGTATCGGAAAGAGTACCGCGTTGAAGATCCTCAGTGGCAAGCTGAAGCCCAACCTTGGTCGTTACGACAACCCCCCTGATTGGGAGGAGATCCTGAAGTACTTCCGTGGTTCCGATTTGCAGAGTAAGCAGCATATTCCAAATACCACGGTTTCTATTCGAGGTTACTAACTGTGATAGACTACTTCACCAAGATTCTGGAAGACAACCTGAAGGCGGTTGTGAAGCCTCAATATGTCGATCAGATTCCCCGTGCTGTGAAGGGACCTATTCAACAGGTTCAGCAGCTCATCTCGGCGCGCGCTGCGCTGGATAACGAGGAAGAGATCATGGACGTTCTCGGTGCGTTCCCGTACTCCAATATTTCGGAATTCAGTTGCTAATATTCGTTCAGAGCTGAAACAAGTTGCGCAACGTGATATCGGTCACCTTTCCGGTGGTGAGCTTCAGCGTTTTGCCATTGGTCTGGTTTGCGTGCAGAAGGCTGACGTGTATGTTGTTCCTTCCTTATATACATGCCATGTGGAGTCCTGTCCGTTACTAATACTGATTGATATAGGTACATGTTCGACGAACCTTCCTCATATCTTGATGTTAAGCAGCGTCTGGCTGCTGCCCGTACGATCCGCAGCCTCCTCCGCCCCGATGACTATGTCATCGTTGTCGAGCACGATTTGTCCGTCCTCGATTACTTGTCCGACTTCATTTGCGTGTTGTATGGTCGCCCTGCTGTCTACGGTGTCGTTACTCTGCCTGCTTCCGTTCGTGAGGGTATCAACATCTTCTTGGACGGTCATATCCCTACCGAGAACCTGCGATTCCGTGAGGAATCTCTCACCTTCCGTCTTGCCGAAGCCGGCGAGGAGTTCATTGCGGACAAGGATCGGGCCTTCGCCTATCCCTCGATGGAGAAGACTCTCGGTGACTTCCACCTGAAGGTTGATGCCGGAAAGTTCACCGACTCCGAAATTGTCGTCATGATGGGTGAAAACGGAACTGGAAAGACCACTTTCTGTAAGATGCTTGCTGGTGCATTGAAGCCCGACGGCCTTATCTCTGTCCCCAAGATGAACATCAGCATGAAGCCCCAGAAGATTACCCCCAAGTTCACGGGTACCGTCCGCCAACTCTTCTTCAAGCGTATCAAGACTGCTTTCCTGTCCCCTCAGTTCCAGACCGATGTCTACAAGCCCTTGAAGATGGATGACTTCATCGATCAGGAGGTTCAGAACCTGTCCGGTGGTGAATTGCAGCGTGTTGCTATCGTCTTGGCTCTGGGTATGCCCGCTGACATCTACCTGATTGACGAGCCCAGTGCCTACCTGGACTCCGAGCAGCGTATTGTCGCAGCTCGTGTCATCAAGCGTTTCATTATGCACACCAAGAAGACCGCTTTCATCGTCGAGCACGATTTCATCATGGCCACCTACCTGGCCGATCGTGTCATTGTCTTCGACGGCCAGCCATCCGTGAGCGCTCGTGCTCAAACGCCCGAGTCTCTCGTCGGTGGTTGCAACCGGTTCTTGAAGAGCTTGGATGTCACTTTCCGTCGTGACCCCAACAGTTACCGCCCCCGTATCAACAAGTACAACAGTCAAATGGACCAGGAGCAGAAGCTGGCCGGCAACTTCGTAAGTTTTTTACCACCTCCATGGATGCTGTCAATTCCATTTATAAATACTGTGCTAACTATATTTAATAGTACTTCCTGGAAGAAGAGAACTGAAAAGGGCGTCCACAACGAGCATCGTCGCCGCCGTCATAAACATGATGGCCGCGACTATGAGCAGCGGCGCAACAGGCGCCGTGGCGATTGGAAGATCATGTGGTTAATGGGGATCCCAGGCGTATGCAGAGCCTCGGCGGTTCAGGGCAAGGGATTCCGTCACCGTGCCGGGCCCTCTTCCGGTGCCGATGACGGTCTCTCGGATGACGATGGCGATGATGACGATTTAAATGGCAACAGTGACCCCGACTAAACGGTAGTGGCTTACTTCACACCCCTACTATCCTTGGTCTAGTACGCTCATTTACTTCTGCGACCTGTTGTCATTCGTCAGTCTATCACCAAATGCCTATATCGTTATTCGCCTTGCAACCTGCCTTGATTTGCTCTGGGTTTGTAAATCATATCCAGAGTCATCGGCCCCCGGTTGGGAACACATGTCTACAGATCTTCCACTAGCACCTGTTAAATTTTAATGGTGGATTGGGTTCGGCATGGCTTATTGTTCCAACGGAGTTCTTATGTTTGCATTAGGTTTGGAGGGTTTGGGTTCCAAAAAAAAGCTCTTCCATGAATTTTATGATTTAAAGATGGATGTCGCGTCGGAATGGATTGGTGATGAGGTTGTTTTCAGACTTGGGATGGCATGGAATTGGTGACTGCTGAAAAGCTGCCGGGTTCATTGCCTCTACGTCGTGTAGATAGATAGTTTTCAACCCATTGTTGTGCAGATGCTCAAAAATCTCTTTTTAAAGAATAGTTGGCCGCTTATGGCCCTCTCATTTTGTTTTAGATGTCTTTTTAGATGTATATGAAGGTGACAAAGTCATAAGGTCAATTTCTTTTCTCCACATCTCATTCCCTTAGGTATTAATAGCATCTCTGGAATTTCCGCCATCCAAGATGAGACGGTCTTGATTTAGCTCGGGTAGAACATGTACTAATTCAACTTTTTGATAAAGTATCGAAAATCAAACGGTTCTTGGGCGCATAGCCGGACTCTTGTACAAGTAACAAGCCATGCGCACCCTCTTTCACAGAGCTGACTGAGCTGCTCCAGTTGGTCGTTGCCCATACAGGGGAATGAGCCGGTATTCCGCCACTTCACTTGGTCAACTTTCGAGGAGGGGTGCTATATCTTGGTTCATCCTCATTTCCCTCCAGGATTGTTTGAGGCTAACGTCCATCCAACAGTCGAATGTCTTCGCGGGGGGCAGAGTGAAAGCACATGCCCTGGTAGTCGAAAACTTCGGCTTGACGCCTATATGGGCAGGTGTTCCGATATTGCTCAAGGTCATCTAGGCCGCTCTCTTTGTTTGGGACACGTCTTGGGTCGGAGACAGAGCATAGGTTCATTTCTCCTCTTCGGGATTGATATAAAAAATATTACAGGGAGGCCAGCAACGAGAAGAACCAAAGAGGATGAACGAAGTATCCTCATGCTATAGGCCCTGGTGCATGTGCTGAACTTTTTGGTGAAAGGAGCCACCGATGTTGACATCGAAAGACTTTGCCTTAGCGACGAACTAGTTAGTGGGTGCCTTCCAAGGGTATAAAGGTACCTATGTTCTTACCACGGAGGTTCTGAAAGTGCTGAGGGTACCTCTCAGATAGGCGAGCGAAAACGCATGTACTTGGTCTCAGCGAGGTCGAGGAGCCTAATTTCCCTAACGATCCCATGGATGATGAGGGCACGGGCTAGGGGTTGAACCAGTGGTAGGCGTATAGCGGGGTTGCCGAAGTAGTAACCAGAAGTCTAGGCCTTCTTAGAGAAGTTAGAGAAGCTGACCATATCGGGGGAGAGGATATATTATAATGATCGTGGCCTAGAACTTACCGGTGGCACCAACACCAGTCTGCACCTCGTCAACGATAAGGAGGTCAATGCGAAGACTCTAGAATAACAGGCGAGACGTGGATGTTACCACCATTGGACTAGATAGGATGCGCTATCACTGTAGAGACGGGGTTGTGGAACCCCTTGATGAGACGCTTGACCTCAATCGAGTAGCATTGCTTCTCAGCGACGTTCTCCTGGGAGTGATTCTCCAGTGGGCACTTCAGCCGGGGTGAGTCGTCCAATATCGAGACTATGTGCCTCAGTAATGAATTCAGTCAACGAGGTCTTCTTTTGATTCTCGCCACTTAGTTGTGGCAACAGTCTCAGGAAAGAAGGGCCAAAAGAAGAAAGGGTGGAAGAGGGAGAAGAGTAAATGAGGATCGAGGAAGACAACCTTTGTTTATAGCAAGCACTAAGCGCAGACATCCAATGATGCTCTTTTCACGTGCAAGACTTTCGCAATCTTATGAGGTTAATAACATCCATTCAAAGGTCAGATAGATGATCTCACGTATTGATGTACGTAGGTACGGAACAACATGCGCCTTCTTATAAACCCATTTCTAGAACATCAATATATGTGAATAGTTTGGCTTTGCACGTCTGGGATGTCTTTTTGGTGCTAAAGATATAAAAATATGTATGTAAAAAGGCAATATGTAGATAGTGAGTGGAGCAAGAAGTATATTGCTAAAGGAGAGAGCAGCAGTCTACCATGAAGCCATTTATATAGCTTGGTGAGTACAAAGGAACAAAGCCACCTAGGGGTATGACCAAGCAGCATAGCGCAGTGCGTATGCAGAAGCGCTCACCAATAGATACCCCAACTTCGCGTTTCTTCTATTATGTATGCGCTTCTATTCATTTTATTGGCCGACAATCAGGATACTAACTTCCGGAGGGTTCGGATCAGGGATATTAAGCTCAACCCTTTAAGCGTTGGGCTTAGTTCTTTTAATATATAAATCTACATGCAAACTGGCGTTCTCATCCTGGTTCTGGCATGTTTCTATTCTTTCTAGGGATTCTAATATGATTTTATCCAACATGGTACTAATCTAAGAGGGGGCAGGGGAGTGCTAGGAGTTTGCAAAGCAATGTAAGGCATTTAGAAAGGCGTACTACCTTAGTGTGAACATAGCGGGTAGTTGTCATAAATCTCTATATAAAACGCAATACACGAAGAGATAAAGATGTACAGGCCCCATAAAATCATCCATAGATGCCATCCTACTCCGTAGACTCCAGTCAAATGCAGTAATCTAATCTTGCTAATGCTAATGCTCTTTATGCATTTTCCTTCCAATCACTCAATTTCCAAGACTGCACTCCATCCTCAATATCTAACCTCAGCGTGGTGAACTTAATCTCCTCATACATGACTGTAGCAGCCGCTCTTGCTTGAGCATGCCAAGGTCCACGACCACCAAGTCTCGCATCATTTCGATTGCGCCAAATGCCTGTTTGAATTGATTAGCCATCGTCAGAAGAAAAAAAACCGGAGATAGAATAATCAAATACTTACAAGTTGCCAGATTCCGATGTTTATCATTCTTCGCCCCAAACCAATACTTCAACAATCCCCCACTAGCAATAGCCTCCTGGTGCGAATGCGCATCAAGGTCATAAAGACGATCCGAATCGATATCCGGTAACAGGATTGACCGGAAGATGACAACGTAATACGACTGCGATTTCCATGCGTGGTTCTCTGCCTGTGAGAAAGTTCTCAACAAATCATATACCTCTGTCCAATTGAATGATTCGGTATATTCAGCGGTAGCATAGTCATCGCGGATAGGCTTGAGATATGCCAATGCCAGTGCAAAGAGTCGGTCTTGTCTCTCCAGTGCAGAAATGTCCAACAGATGGGGGACGCTGTTGTAGGGTGATGCAATGAGTCGCGTGTCTGTTTCTGTGTCTGGATATTGCTTCTCAAGCTGCAATTGCAATTGCAATGATGCCGCAGCTTCGAATCTCAAGGGATCAAATTCTGTAGTGACATGGCTATGATGCACGAGTCGAGTCAAACTTGGGACTTTTTGGTCTTTGCCCTTGTCTGGGAGGCTTTTGGTAGCTGGGACTGCATTGCTGAGGACCGGGTTTTCTATGGTAAACGTCATGTTCCAAGGTCTCTGTGGATCTATTTTATGACCGAAAAGATTCCAAATTTGAGAGATGTAAGAAATTGAAGGCAAGTACCAGAAGAAATAATATCGGCAAAAATTCGGAATGCGGAGGCGAATCTGAGATTTATATAGAGAAAATTTTATATGACATACGCCATATCCAAAAGTTATTTGCAGACAGTTTATATAGACATAGAATCCTTTGACCGCTATACGGACGCTGTACCACATTCCAAAGTGATTGTGTGCTAGACAACACAGTGCACGCAATGTGGGCGAATTTGAGATTTAGAGTTAGGCCGTTATTGTTCCTTTCAGGTAGTCTATTGGGTCGATTGGGCCTATTGGGCCTGTTAGGTCTACTACTGGCACCCAATATATCTTGTCTCGAAGGATTAAAGGACTGCATCCTGCTCTGGGTTATTCTTAGGGATTCCTGAAACATCGTGCTGTGAGCCCTAAACTGACTGACTCGGACGCCATCCCTTGGGATGGTGCAATTTCTTGGCAATCCCCAGAGCCCCCAACCTTGGAAGAGATTGGTTGAATATATTACTAACTACTGTGGTATCCATGGATCCATGGATTGTCTTAATAAAATGTCATTTTGAGGTCTGTAGTCAGATCTAATGTACAATCAGTTTGGTATCACGTAAATCATAGAAGCTCAGGCCTTCTGATCTTCCCCTTGAAACGCCGTGAAAATGCTGCGATCCGATAAAAGCAAAGAAAGACTGGGAAAGATTGGGAAAAAAAAACATAACTCTCAACGCTTGGGTGGAGGACCCATCTTGCTCTCGCCCGCATCAGCCTTCCTCTTGAGTGGGATAGCAGGCACCTTGAAGCCACCATTCTCACCGCCCTGGGAATTGCCGGGGTTCTGGTTAGGAGCTTGAGTGAAAGTGCCAGACTTGAACCACCGGTTTTCCTCAGCATCACGCTTGCGCTTCATTTCCGCTTGCACCTTCGGATCGACCAGCTCTAGGCCTTGAACGGGTGTGAATGCAATAGTACTGGAGGTACCAGCTGCGCCAGGTAGAGATGATCCGACACCAGAGGCACGAATACCTCGTGCCTGAAGAACGCTTGCAGTGCCACTTGCACCGCCCTGGCCAAAGCCACGCAACGAGGAGGCAGTGCCGCTAGCGGGGGTGTTTGTGCCCCAGCCCTTGTTGCTCTTGCTGAGTCGAGCACGGGTGCGCTGATCGATCTGAGTTGCGCGGATGCGACCATCGTCCTGTTGTCCCAGCATACCCAAGCCAACGGTGCCAGAACCCGTGCCGTATCCCACCTCCGACTCCTCCTTGCCAAATGCAAGACGGTTCTGTGCCTTCCGCATTTCGGTCATAGCCACAGCCTCCTTAGCCTTTCGGGCTCGCCAACCACCGCGCTTCCTGGAGGGTTTGTCGTCGGGCGCAGGGAGAGCCTTTGTACCGGCGTTTGGCGCAGATTCGGTCAGTTTCTCGAGTCGCGTGTAGCATTGCTGTTTCAGTTCTTCGCCCAGAGAGCCATCCTTGGCGTAATTGGAGACATCCGCGCGGGTGGCAAGTACCATCTTGGCCGCAACAATTCGGATTCCTTGTTTCCGGAGGTCCAGAGGAACCTCTTGGAGAATTGGCGAGTCGTAGAGGAAACCTTGCGCTCGAACACCGTGGTTGGTCGCAAAACCCAATCCCTCTGATCGGCGTGATCCTTGTGCACCCAAATTGCAGGAGGGGATCTTAGCTAGTTCAAGCAAGCCACCAGTTTGGTTGAGGAACTGTGCGGCAGTTTCGGCCCCGATGAGAGCTGCCAGGTTAGGGGCGATCTGGTTCATGCGAGACTGAATGCTTGCAGTAAGAACAGCGCGCTCATTGTCAAGCTTCAGAATTCTCTCGCATGTGTCGAGAACTAGCTTGAGCTCGGACTCGGTCATCTCTCGGCCTTTGGTGATAGTTGCCTCCATCGCAATTGCCATCAGAGACGGCCCGTCCAAGACCGACTTGAGCGGGACGCCAGCCATGTTCTCCGATGATGTTGACAGTGCCTTGATGTCGTTGAAAGGGCCATTTTGAATAATGGCAACTGTCTTGGCGTATTTGATGGGAGTGGTGACGAGTCTTTCGAGCTCGGGGAATCGGATGGAGTAATGGTCGCGCAGGACTTTGTGTAGGCGTGTCAGCTCATCAGCGGTAGAAATAGAGCGGTCGAAGTCGTTGGAAACCCCGGCGCCTTCTTTGGACTCTTCCTGTTGCTCGGGCTCTTCGTTGACTTCCTCGTCTTCGCCCACCTCGAAGTCCTCCTCGTCATCCTCAAAGTCGCGTAGAAGCTCTTCGGCGGTCGACATTTTGACTCGGATTTTTTTGACACGTGCGCTCCGGTAGAATGAGGTGCGTATTATCGGAGAACACCACTGGGTAAATAGAAAAAGAGCAATAATATTCCCAAAGTCTTCAGGTTGGGAAGAAAAGTTGTGCTTAGTCAGAAGGAAGCTGCGGCGGGTGGCGATAGAGACCAATCACGCAGTTCGGCGATTTCAACGCGGATTCTCTGAGCTACGGGTCCAAGCTATTCTCGGCGTCACTGGATTGGGCGTGAGGAATCTCCCTGCCAATTTCTGACTTAAGCAATCGCGGTGGATTAGTGAAGTCAGCTTCATATCATACCCCTCCTTTTGCCCAACCCTCATTACTTGCCCGATAATTTCAACGTTCCCGAACTTCACCTCATATCTTCTTGAGTTGCGGACCACATCTTCACCGAGACCAGTCAATACAGTACCATCACAATGGAGGCCTCCCGTGGACCTCCCCGGGTCAAGAATAAGGCCGCCGCGCCGGTTCAGATCTCTGCAGAGCAACTGCTCCGCGAGGCCGTTGACCGGCAAGAGCCTGGCCTTGAGGCGCCGACACAGCGCTTCGCCGATCTTGAAGAACTACACGAGTACCAAGGCCGGAAAAGAAAGGACTTCGAAGACTATGTGCGGCGCAATCGCATTAACATGAACAACTGGATGCGCTATGCCGCCTGGGAGCTCGAACAAAAGGAATTCCGTCGGGCGCGATCCATCTTCGAGCGTGCGCTGGATGTCAATCCGACCTCGGTGGTGCTTTGGATTCGCTACATCGAAGCTGAGATGAAGACGCGGAATATTAACCACGCACGAAACCTCCTCGACCGTGCCGTGACTATTCTCCCCCGCATCGACAAGCTCTGGTATAAGTATGTCTACATGGAGGAGACTCTCGGCAACATTCCCGGTACTCGTCAAGTGTTCGAGCGATGGATGTCATGGGAGCCGGAAGAGGGTGCATGGGGCGCCTACATCAAAATGGAAAAGAGATATAGCGAATTCGAACGAGCACGCGCCATCTTCCAGCGGTTTACTGTCGTCCACCCTGAACCACGGAACTGGATCAAATGGGCCCGCTTCGAGGAGGAGTATGGCACAAGTGACTTGGTTCGTGAGGTCTATGGTGTGGCTATCGAAACGTTAGGCGAGGACTTCATGGACGAGAAGCTCTTTTCCGCATACGCCAAATTCGAGGCCAAGTTGAAGGAATATGAGCGCGCACGAGCAATTTACAAGTATGCCCTAGACCGACTTCCGCGGTCCAAGGCTATGGCCCTTCACAAGGCTTACACGACCTTCGAAAAGCAATACGGTGATCGGGAAGGTTTGGAGGATGTGATTCTATCTAAGCGCAGAGTGCAGTATGAAGAGCAGCTCAAAGAGAACCCTCGCAACTATGACATCTGGTTCGACTTTGCACGGTTGGAGGAAACTTCGGGCGACCCAGAGCGGGTGCGGGACATCTACGAACGGGCCATTGCACAGATTCCCCCATCACAAGAGAAAAGACATTGGCGCCGCTACATCTATCTCTGGATCTTTTACGCCGTGTGGGAAGAAATGGAAGCGAAGGACATGGAACGCGCCGGTCAAATCTATCAGGAATGCTTAAGGATTATCCCACACAAGAAGTTCACATTTGGCAAAGTCTGGCTCATGAAAGCACACTTTGAGGTTCGTCAAATGCAGCTACAAGCAGCACGGAAGACATTGGGGCAGGCGATTGGAATGTGCCCCAAAGAAAAAATTTTCCGTGGCTATATCGACATGGAACACCGACTGTATGAGTTCGAGCGGTGTCGTACTTTGTTCGGGAAACGAATTGAATGGAACCCCTCCAACATCCAGTCGTGGTTGGAATTCGCGGATCTGGAGCGTGATCTGGATGATGCGGAACGGACCAGGGCCATTTACGAGCTTGCCATTGAGGAATCGACACTTGACATGCCCGAGCTTGTGTGGAAGGCTTACATCGACTTTGAAGAAGGGGAAGGCGAGTATGAGCGAGTTCGACAATTATACGAACGCCTCCTTCAAAAGACCGATCACGTCAAGGTATGGCTCAACTACGCCCGCTTCGAATCCTCTGTGCTGGGCGAGGAAGGAGAGGAAGAAGATGAGGAAGAGCAGAAGCCACTCCCCGAAGCCGCAATACTCCGCTCGCGTGCAGTCTTTTCTCGGGCAGAAAAGGCGCTCAAAGAGAAGGGTCACACGAACGATGTAAGTTGCTATTCCCATAATCTACACACTATTCGGTCTATACTAACTTTTGTACAGCGCGTGGACATTCTCAATGCCTGGCAACAATTCGAACACGAAAGTGGATCGCCCGAGGATATCGAAAAGATCGACAAACAGATGCCCCGACGTGTCAAGAAGCGCCGCAAGTTGGGAGACGACAAGTACGAGGAGTACATGGACTTTGTGTTCCCTGCAGACGATCAATCTGCTGCCAACCTCTCTCGTTTGCTCGAAAAGGCACACCAATGGAAGCAACAGAACCAGTCCTAGAACGTGTGGTAGCTTTTATTTTACAAAATCAATTGATTCCCAGATTTGCCACTACCTTGATCTCTCGGATCACTTCCATCACGAAACCATCTATGCAAAACCCATAGTCACGGGAACGAACTTCATGTGTTATAGTACTCAGACGAGAATACCATTTCCGATATCTGTTTGACAGTGAAACCGAACCAAACTCTCTTTTTTGGATCGAATCGGTGTCGCCGGCTAAGCGGCACGAACCGATACGAAGTGTTCTCAAAATGAGATTTCCGCCCTGCATCCAGGAAAGTATGCAATATTGATGTCGTGCATGGTGGCCACCAAACCAGCTGTCATTACATATTCTCCCGGTCCTGTTGGGTACAGCTGCATCCCCGCCGATAATCCTTCATCGGGGGCTGACTCTGTAGTACATATCTGTAGTGGTATATTTACGTTAGCTGAATTAAAGATCGGGCGAATGCTTTAGAGAAACTGAACGTTAGCCATATATCTGCTTACATGCATTTGCACTAAAACAGCTTGTGAAGTAGGTCATGAGATAACAAGTCTTAAATATATCAAAAACTCTTAACATCATTCAAAACACGGAGAACTGAGACATTTCCACAGGTCTCAGGAACAGACATATCCACTGCTCCACTGCCCCACGGTCCATAGCCCAACCCCTCACTCCCGAGGTCCTTTCTCCCTCTGTATGTTGTATTGATATTTCTCTGTATAGCATGTTGTTGACCAGTTCACCGAGTACATATATATGGCTTAATATAACCATAAAGCGGGCAAATGGCTCTCAAAACATCGACTACGGTCATATTGATGTCTATGAGAGATATCAATAATTACCTGTCGATCATGAGGGATTTGCTGTTGCTAGATGATATGTTAACCGTCAAGGACAATGCCTATTGGTCGCTATGCATATTTGGAAAATATAGTCGATAATCATTTACCCCGGTTGGAACGTGTCACATGTTTAATTTGAGGAATGAACCAAGGCCCTTTGTAGGTTGTGTTTCGCAGAGATAATCATTTAAGCTCTTGCAGAAAACGCCACTTTCAGATGCCTAGAGTCTTTGATTAGTCTGTGTCAACTGAGTCATTCATGGCGACCCCGGTTTTAGGAGAAATTGCCATTGGGAATATTTTTCTAGATATTTGAACTAGACTATAATCAGCGAAAAGATCTATGTATATGAGATAATTTGTGCACGATATGAGAGGTAGTCGTGGAATATCTGGGTTGACATATAAAACGACGAACGTAGATGAATTTTTAAATAAACCATAAGTCGACATGATAGATATCATGTAGACAGTGCTAAAAAAAATACCGTAAAAAAAAGAGATCTGAGATTCTCTAGATGACTCCTAGAGGATTCAAGAATTTAAAAATTCGTTGATACATAGTCAATATTTGAGGCCAATCTATATATAATGCGAACTGGGGTACGCGGCATCAGGATTCCCCAAATAGGGAGTTCGCCCACACGACAGATGTGTAAAAATAGGACACTAAATAAAGAACCTATATTGGCAGATGCTAAGGGAGAAAGAGAAGATATATATATTGGTAGTCTTTGTATAGGATGGTGGCAACAAATAATCGTGTTCATCAAGGATCATGCCACAGAACAAAGGGGGTTTCAAATAGCTTCTTTTAAGGATAGTAACTTAGTCCAGTTAAAAATCTATAAACACTACCGATTCTCGACCTTGATGAGCCATCAACGGCAAATATTCTTGGTTTTCAGTTGACGAGATCATCATTCAACAAGCATTGTTCTAATTTCTACACACCGCCTTAACATCCTTGCCTACAGTCATCAGAACTATAATCTTCCTCGGTTTTCATACTCAGACTTTCGAATCATACCAAGAATAGTAAGTGTTCGCTCGCATCGACGGCAATTGCTAGACCATATGACTAACAACTTCTTTTTTAATAGTGGGGTCCAATATTGCAGATCAGCCTGTTGATGACATTTGTGACATTTGCAAGAAGGACTTCTACGGCACCAAGTCATGCTCATGCGGTAATCGTTGATCTTTGGAATTGGGTACAAACAGAGGCGTGGAATGACTGTAGAAGCCCAATATTCTAGGGCCCTGGAGGACATGCGATATGGGGATTGGTTAGTATAGCATCAACGCTCGTTAGTACTATGAATTTGAAACTAGTCTACTCCGTATGTGCTGTGCTGTACACTTGTACTCAAAATTGTAAATTCGTAGATATCATGAGCGCCAGCCCTTTGCGGTTCCACGAAAGAGGACATCTCAGGTTTGAGTAAATGTCTGATTCGAACCTTGGAAAGGTTCCTGGAAATAATTTGAGAGATGAGGGAATTGAATAATTAAGGTACGTTTACTCCGTATGCAACACTGCCTAATATTTAAGACTTCGTCAGAGTCCCATATGTGAAGTGAAATTATAGAAAAGAACCTTGGAAAGTGGCACGCCAAGGCGCCAGAGTTTGAGAATTTCCGTGGGTCCAACGGACAAGAACCACGGATCTGGAGAGGGGGAATCTTCCAAGGTTCTAGGGTGCGTTTGTTTATTTTTATTTTTATTTCTATTTCTCTCCATTTGATATTACAGTGTACGGAAGTACAGTTTAATATATGCACTACATCTGCACTCTCCCTTGCTGTTGATACATCCCGAGGTGCGCCCTAGGAACATTGAAAATCAAGGTGGAGGTCCAAGCCTTGGAAGTGTGCCTGTAAAACGGGGTCTAGGTACGGAGTACACGAGAGGTGTGGTCCCACTTCATCGGGACTGCTCGCGGGAGACCCCCTGATCAATATAGAAATGAGAATAGACGAAGGTGAAGAGAACCAATAAGAACGAACAAACTAATGAGAATTGATTCTCAAACCCCAATCAAAATGAAATAAGCCAAATTAACGGGAAAAACTCCCAAACGAAAAACGCCCGAGCGAATTGAAAATGACGAAATTATTCCCCTTAAGGGATGGCGTTGTTCGCTAACCCCCCCTAAGCCGTCTGCTAACCTCCTCCGTTAGGGGGTCGAGAGGCCCTTCTCCCTGTTTCACTTGGATGTGGTTTCTGTTTCTGTTTTTCTGTTTTTCTCCTTTTACTGTCTGCATTTACACTTGTGCTGTGCACTTTGATATTCTATCCATTCGTTCGTTTCGCCAACCAACCCCCCCATTCGCTTAATCGGGTTTTGTTGGCTTTTCTTTTTTTTGGGCACGTATCGACTGGATCGCCCAGCCCCTCAGATCCTTGTGATTACTCGACATCCTCATTGACCGACGTGTTCGTGTTGTGATCCCATTGTTGACACACTGAGCCAATACTCTGATTGTGTCATCCCGAGTCGCCGAGTCATCCGATACGCGATCCACCTTAGTTTCGCCTTGAGAACCTCAAATCGCAGTTGATCGCGCGCAAAGCAGTCGAGGACCCGTGTGTTCACGTCGCCTGTTATCGCGTCAACTCGCTCAGATTGAGTGTAGCTTGTTGGCATTTTTCGCTCAACTGCCTCGGTCGAGATGAGATAGTGCTCTGGCAGTCACCTTTTCTTCTCTAATTTGGGCCTTTCAAGTTCCTTGCTGGCTGGCCACCCACCTTGACTCCTGGTCCGGAATCCATCGCGACTTTGAACTTTTCAACATGACTGGCCCCAAACCCCTACTCAAGATTGAGGGCGATTGCTCCACTATCCACAGCAACACCCTGTACACTTATTCACCGACTGGCTTTCAATCCATACCTCTCAAAGAGAAGGGGGAATGGAAGAAACTCCCATCCCCAGAACACAAGGTTACTGGCCCTGCCTGCGTCCAAGGCGGGACCGGAGGGAATGAAAACGACGAAGATAAAAAGGCATTTTATCTGGTTGGCGGGACCGGCTCCTCTGGCAGCAGCGGCCTCCAACGCTTTTCGTTCAGCACCCAGAAATGGGAGACATTAACCATAGATTCATCGATGAAAGATCGGACTGGACATGGCGTCGGGTACATTCCCTCAACTTCCGAAATATTGGTTTACGCAGGAAACACAGATGGCAGCACACAGCCGTCTCAATCGACCCTCCTCATTTCAACAATCTCGCCCTTCACCGTGTCGTCCGGTGTCGATCAGGGTGCGCCGGCATTGTATGAGCCCATCATTTTGCCTTGGGGTTCTTCCGAAGTAGCCTTGATTGGAGGCTCTGCCACCAATACTGCTATCTTCGTCTACGAGGCCACAAATAACAAAGGCTTCACCGCCTCAGAGGCGACTCTTCCCTCGGCAATCGAATCCTCATCTCTATGCGCACTCGCCTCCGACTCCGGGACCAAGGTCCTTGAGGAGTTTAATATGGCCGCTTCGCCAAATAGTGTCACTAGCTACCTTGTTAGCTCGAAAGGAAAGGTGCAGAACCCGATTACAGCCATCGCATCCTCAGAAAAGAGGGATCTCACCGATGCTTACAACGGCACATTCGCGCCGACGGCATCCTGGTCTGATTACACGCTCGCCCAGGGTAGTGGCTTGGTCGTTCTCGCCAGCGGCCAAAGTAACGACTCATTGGCAATCTTCAACCAGACTTCCAACGCATGGGTCAACTCTACAGAGCTTTTCTATGGAAAAGGAGATCAACATGTTCTCAAACCATCCACCACATCATTCACATCATCTACTTCGACATCAACATCATCCTCCACATCCACATCGACCTCAGCCTCAACTACGCCTACTTCTTCCTCAGAGCCAGTTGCAACTGTAAGTGGCGGCTTGACCGATCATGGCAAAATGATTCTTGGCGCAACCCTCGGAAGTATCCTAGGGTTTGGCTTGATCCTGCTCCTCATTCTGTTCCTACTGCGACGTGAGAAGAAGAAAAACCAGGCAGCGCAACCCGGTCGCGGCGGCGATAATAAAGACCGCCTAAGCTTCCAGGATCAGGGTATAGAACCCCTGACTGAAGGCGCTTACCCCATGGCAAGATCTCCTGTCCCAGTCGCCGCTGGTTCAGTCGACTCATTGGCTATCTTCTCCGGCAACTACAAAGGAGAGAAATCCCTCAAGCCACCCAGTAATACGGGCTACGGATTGTCTCCCAAGCCCAAGAATAGCAGTCCGCTCTCTACAATTCCCTCCAGCGGTGTCATGGGCGCATCAAGCGTATACACCAACGACACCAATCGGGCCGACGATGACACCAGTCACGGAAACCAGGCCGCTGACCGAATGACCGACGAAGGGTGGGGGAAATACTTTGAGGATGGCGGTGCCACCAACTTCCAATCCGATCGCTCGACTATGAGTTCCGTGTACACCAAGTCCGATTACCGCGGAAGCGCCTGGCCGATGACTACCTTGACACCATTGAATTTCGGTTTCCTCGACCAGCCCAGGCCCCTGGGCCACGTCCTCAGCGGCAGCCCGACCACGGAGCACAGTTCTAATGAGATGGGCAATCGAAGCCTAGTGATCCCGGAGAGCCAATCGGCACGAATCTCCAGTGCCGATTCCATCAGTATCGCCTCGGACGACGACCGCGATGATCCAAAGTGGCAAGGTGCAGGCCAGAGCAGCTGGCTCGGACGTCCCCCAAGCAGCAACTACACTACCAGCTTCTACCAGTCGAGCACAAAAGATATGCCTTGGGAATCATCAAATGCCGGCCTTGCGGACAAGGCAAGGCAGTCCAATGCACGAAGATCGAGCGTCATCATCCCAGACGATATCGACGAACTTCCAATGCAAAGCCAGAAGAACAATACCAATTCAGATATGAGCTGGCTCAATCTCAAGGCTGATCGTTAACACACGGTCGACTAATATTCCGACTTACAGTCCATTTGGAGCCCAACTCTCCCATACTCTCCCTCATCTTTCCTCGAAAATACCCACCTCGCCTTGCCAGGTCATTTGGCAACTCTCTTACCTCCTATTTCATCCATTCCTTTTATCGCATCTCCATGGGTACTGGTGTCTTGAAAAAATCCTATTGCTCTGCGTCTTTGCACTTGACGTGCTGCATTTTTACTTGCATCCAGCATCTTGTTCGTTTTATCTTTGTGTGTATGAGCGATTCCTTAGCGTTATGCCACACTTCTTGAACCGGTTGCTTTTTTTATTCATTTGACTTCATGGCTGTGCCTGTACTGTGCCGATCTAGTTGTTCTTGTATGAGTGTTGTGTTAATGTTATTCTGTACATATCTCGATCTGAGTGTAAATCACTCGAAATCAAGCGCATGGTCTAGCCATGCACTATTGAAATCCTTTTCGTCATATTCATTAGTCCAATTAACCATTATCGTATGTAAGTCGTGTTTATCATAAGCAACCCATCTGTCCACACGGATACGTCTTAGGAATGTCTTCAATAAAGCTTCGCCAAAAACGAATGCCTCTTCGAAACCTTCCTAAACTCATTAACCATAGGACTAAGCATCCTCCCACCCCCATCCTCAATCTCCATCGGCTCCAACCGTGTCGAATCCGTCTTCCGAAGAAGCGGAATCTTCTCCTCGGTCTTAGTCCGAATGTAATAATGCTCATCATCCTCCTCCATCCCAATATACCACCTCTCCTTCAACTGCTTCCCCCAAGGCCCACACCCACAAGCACCCTCCAACTGACTCGTCTGCGGACTATTCACAGCAAGCGCGAACAAATTCTGCGGCTCTGTGAAATCAGTCACCTGTCGACCGCGCGCCTCGACAATCATAAACCCGAGACAGATAGCACTGGTCAAGAACGCAAAAACGAGAATCACGTAGAATATCCCCTGCCACTGCTCCGTCCCACCGGAAGCATACCCAACAGCCCGGATAGAAGCATTGAAGATCTGGTAAACAGGCTCGGAAAGAACATTCCCGATACTGTAATTCCAGAACGGGACGAACGGCGCATTCTGAGAACTAAGAATAAGAGTACTTCCAGCCATCACCGCCAACGCCTCCGCGATAGATGGTAGAGTCGGGTCCAGCGCGAAAGTCTCCTCGGTCTTGTCATACCGCGGCATCATCTGCATAAGCAGTCTGGCATTGCTAGCCGCGCCGTCTGAAATACCCGCATTCAAACTGAGCGCATTCGCCCACTCTGACGCGATATTCTTCCAGTCTGGATCCCAAATACCCTCGTAGAACGCGTCTTGTCGTCGGTCGTATTGTAGGCCGTTTGAGGCGTTCTCGCAGTCCGTACTGAGGGATGCGCCGCTTGTGTCGGCGGAGTACTTGGTCGAGCAGACGCCTGTTTGTTTCGCCCGCAAAGAGCACATAATGTACTCTGGCATGTCGGTGTCGTTGGTTGCGCCGAGAAGGTAGATCGCGTCTGCGGGCCAGACACCTGTTGTGTTGAGGATTGTGTTGTATGGGAGTGGGTATTTGCCGAAAATCGGTGAGACTTGGCTGTGTTTGGGACCGAATTCGAAGAGTGAGTCGACAACTGTGCTGTTTTTCCAATCTGCCGGGTGGGGGATGTCGTCTGGGGGTGAGAAATTCCAGGTTGTTACGTTGAATTTGTCGCCGCCGGGCCAGGAGGCGTAGACTAAGGGGCTAAGCTCTTCTTTTGTCATTCCGGTGCAGAGAACATTGACGGCTGGGGAGGGGACGGAGGCTTCGATGATGTATTTTCCTTCGCCGGAGGTGCCTTTGGGTTGTTTGAGTCTGTTTTGGGAGTTCATTGCTGCGGCGGGGATGCCGCCGTGCGGCATTGCCATTGTTATGTTGTTGACCATTCGGTTGTGTTTCTTGGAGAGCGTGGACATGTCTTGGATGTCGACCCAGCTGCCTGTTACTGTGGTGTTGTCCCAGAGTGAGCCTGTTGGCGGTGGGCGCTTTCGGAGTTGGCTGGAGGTTTCGTTCTTGCTGGTTACTAGCTGGCTCCATTGGGCTATCCATTCTTGATAGTTGTGATATGCCTGGCCAACGTGTAAAATCTGGAGGCAGGTTGTGTTGCGATACACGGGGTCCATGTCGTTGGTGACGGGTGTCTCACAGGTCGATGCGATGTATTCGGGGTTTGCGAAGCTGGCGGTTACCTTGCCCTGGAGTGTCCTTGGTTCAATAGGACCAAAAGAAAGTTTAGGATCAACTGTTGTTAATTAGTATTTGACATGCTTCCTTGGATGGAAGAGAGCGAATTTACCCAAAGCTTGCGCCGCAGTGGTGTACAGCATCGCTACGAACGTTGAAACCAGCGCAACTGACCCGAGGAAAGTGAGGGCCGAATATCGCAGCGCCTCCCAATGCACAATCATCGATCCAGGTTGCATAATCCAGGCCCTCATATTCATATCCGAGATACTAATTCCCCGAGAATCCTTCATCAAAGCCCTCCGACTAAGCACCTGTCCCAGAAACGCGACGCAAATCGTAACATAGGACAACTCGATCGTTTTCGCAAAGAATGCGCTCAGCAAAGCTGCCGTAGATGGAACCAACGGCCCATCAATTGAGACCCTGTGCCATCGGGGCTTGCGCAGCGCAATACCGAGAAAGATGCCCGAAAAGATGGTGGCATAGATAGCGAGAACCAGGACTGTCAGCGGGACCCACGAGAGCCGTTTCTGGAGAACAGTTGCTCGGTTGGGACACCGCACGTGGGCGTGGGTATGTGGAGTCTGCGGAGACTCGGGAGATTGGGGAATCTTGTAGGTATTTGGAGTCGTAGTCGCAGTGCTATCGGTTGAATGGCGGTTGTCTGCCGGGATTTCTGCCGGGATGGCATCGCCCGACGGGTTCGAGATTCCCAGGCCAACATCGCGCAGGACTTCTTCGGACCAGGAGCTGGTGCTATCTGAGGGGGCATGATAGCGATAGTCGGAATCGGTTAGGCGATTGTCAAGTGGATTCCAAGAACGTTGGGGTCGAGCGGCATCGATCGAATCTTTCGATAGCAGCGATTGCTGCGAATCCCGCGACGAAGCCATGGTGGAACGTAAAGACAAAAGAAAGAGAGACAAAATGACAACGGTAAATCGAGATCGTTCCCCATTTAAAAGATAGCGAAAAGGGGGTCCTGGTGAGTCCTGGGGCTGAAATGGAGGGGCCCAGTCTAGCCTCCTTAGCCCTATCGTAAGCTGGTTAGCTGCTTGGCATGTCGGTTTGCGCTTTTGCTCATTTGCGGTTTAATTAGATTTTCAATTGTGAGGTTCTTTTGTTTACTGGATTATTTTTAGATATTCAAGGATATTCTAGACTCTGGCATAAGGCTATTGGAAGGACCATTGCTTTGCGCTTGTTAACCGCACTATATTTGCCATATCTGCTGTGTTAATATATAGTGCTTATATATGGAGTACCTGTACAGCCCAAATGGAGCAAATCATAGAGTGAGGAGAACGGCGGAAGAGTCCGGAACAACAATAGTAAGCAGCCCATTTTTAATCCTTGTCTCTTCGTTCGTATGCTGTTGGACCGGTTTCCCCCCATTCAATGCATGATCATATGAAATACCACCGAATGTAATATTATCAAGCGCATCACTTCCTGGGCCAATCAGACGCTCGATCCGAGCGATTTTATGCTGTGCGGGCACGTGGAATTCGTATTTTCTGTGAGGACGATCTGACGTAGTCTGGTTGAAAGCCCGTAGATTCGTCACAACCAACTTCGATAGTTGATCTTCATTGTAGATGGCATACGCAGACTCGTTATCCTCCGACAGAGGAATATTGACAATTCGGGTGTTCTTGGATTTTCCGATGGCACTGGCAACCATTATCTGACCGTAGTACGGGGGTCTGGTGGTTGGGGGAACTCCTTTGTTCTCGATTGGCTGCCACGAGGCGTAACGGTAGTTCAACCCTTGGTGGAACTGCAGGCGCTTGATACCCTGTTTAATGTCAGTGATTTGTTGTGAATTGTATTGGAAAGATGGGTGGCTCATACATGTACTGCTGCCCAGAGGGAGAAGTCGACCAGCCACAGAGCGTCACCGAACACATTGGTCTCTCCATTCACACCCTGGTTCGCGATCGAATTTAGCTCGCCAAGGGTGTAAGGGAGATCAAGGTATGCAAGATTTTCGGCGCGCTTGATCTGCTCTGCAAGATTTTGCATGATATTTGTGTGGTTCATCAAAGTCCCTGTCATTGTCAGCATTACTCAGTTGGTTCGAAGCAGAGAGACGTACGCTGGAGATCCAACTGTGCAGGGGGCAGAGGGGGTTCGTTGACACCCATATAGCTGTTTCAAGGGTCAGCAAAGTAAAATGAGAACAAGAATACTAGTGGATATCTTACTTGTGGAAGCACAACTCTTTGGTCAGATCATCTTTATCGTATCCAAGATTGTACAAGTCCTCAGCAGTCCAGGTCGTCTCGTCAATGAAATCTAGTAGGACGAAGCTAGGCGCCATAAATCCCGGGAAAGAACCAGGACAGGCTTTCTGTACGGCAGATTTGACAATGGCCGACTTGAAGTTCCACTCTTCAACATAATCAAGGAGTGAGTAATTTGCAGCGCGATATTTCCCGGGGGCGAAGTTAAACTCGTTACCCAGCTCAAACAGATGTAGCTGGGGACCGATGGAAGTACAAGCTTTCGCGGCCGAGTCTTGGAGCTGTTGAATCGATGAGTTTTGGTTCATGTTCAACCCATGCAGGAACTTGATGTCTCCTAGGGTGTGGTACGATTCAAAAAAGGTCGGACCGTAGTTGATTTGGATCGGCTGATCATCAGTGGGATTCTGATAGAACAATTTCACATTCTCCTCCTGGTCAGGGATATATGTAGCATGATCCCTGTCGGTAGATTCTTGTCAGCACCTGCGATTAAATGTCTGTAGAATGCTCCGACATACTGTGAGGTTCCCCCGACTCTTACTTTCGGAGCAACGCCGGTCAGAGCTCTGAGATTGTGAAGTAGGTTATTCGAGAACTCATTTGGTTGTGACTTGTTGCCAGCATAGTCAGGGAAGTATGCAAATTCGATTGAAATCGATTGCAGATCATTGGGGACTGGGCTGCTATTCCTCGGAGAAGATGGGACAGCTATAGTATGGGAGCTGCATTTCCCAGAGGCTATGAATATAGCTGTGGATAGGAGCACCGGGAGACTGAAGAACATGGTAAATTCAAAACAGTGATGATTTGGTGTGGTTGTTTCGTTGATGCTCCGTTCATGGTATTTATATCCCTCCCTTCGAGTGGGGATTGAAAGTCGGCATTTGACAATTCAAAGATGCACCAACGGTAGCTTCAAGAAATAATTATTGCAGCTATTCTCGCTATACCCTGCGGTTAGGCGGATCGAGATGGCTATACCAATCTCGACTTTCTTCCTGCGTTCATCTCGTCTTCTGTCTTACCAAATAGAGCCTCATTCTTGGCCCTCTTGGCCCTCTTGGCTCCCTTGGCTTTTATGATACCACCGAAAATTCTCGGTATGGTGTGTGTTATTTGCAATAGCCGATATACCGATATGACGTCGCATTGGTGACAATGCCATCATACACAACCTTGCGCAGGAAGGCATGCGAAACTTACCCACCACAACCCCGGAATGCACCCCCACAAACTTTCGCCATTCTCTCCGCAATCGCAATAGGTTCTGCGGGGGGCCAGATGTACCTAGGTATATTTTGGTGGATCAGAGTCTTTCGGGTGTTGAGCTGCCGAGAGTAGAGCACGAGTATCAACTTGCAGCTGAGCTGCTCTAATAATTCTCTTATCCTTTCGAGGTTCGTGATTTGACACCTAAAAATATCAACAACTTGACCATCTACTGTTGGAAAAATAAGGGCCCACGAAAGCGGAACCCCTTCCCGAGGTTGGATATATATGCCGTGTCCGGCAGAGTTTAAATTCAAATGCCGAAAGCTTCATATGTCTTGTTGAAATTGACTTTGCGAGTCAGAGGTCTGTTTCTAATATGATGAAAAGGGGTGGCCACAAAGTGGAATAAATATGGAATAGTGCCATGATACTGGATAAAGATGATACTTGAAGTCTGGTGGCCTGTTTCAATGTCTAGTGATGAGTATATATTTGTCATGACTCGGTTAGCAGGAAGCTAGTCATAGGTATCGGAGAAAGCCCACCGAAATCCTAGCGATATGCACACGAAGAATTCAAGGAAGAAACTCCTAGTAGGAATATATGTATGTGCTTGGGCAAAGCTACCGACTGTATGAGCAGTAACCAGGGAAGAGCAACGGCTATCGGCATTGAACATCTCCTTCCTCGCCATCAATGTCGGAAGAAAACTCGCACCCAGACTTCTTCTAGATTGTCTACCCGAAAAATTGAGCCCACTTGATCAACTCGGACAAATCAAGTGCGTCGCCAGCCAAACGAGCCCAGAACTTGGACAATTAGCCACCGAATCGCAGGCGGAAATGTCAAAAGATTCTTACCATGTCACGGACTCGTTTCATTTTAGCGAGCACTCACAAGGGATCGAAGCGTTTGTACTGGTCAAAAACTACATTTCAAGATGGTAGGTACCATCCCAAGCGGTCTCGCTCATGTAGAGGCAATCCGCACATCAATTCAAGCGCAAAGGAACATGCGTGCTAAATTTCTGAAATGTGGAAAACAAGAGCCAGAACTCCATATGCTGGGAACTCGATATGCTTCGGTTCTTGACTGGTGTGGTCGGTGTGTATCGTAAACGCTTTCTTCGCAGTCGTACTATCCGGTGGATAGAAAGTGTGAAATGACCCGTATGTTGGAGAAATTCAGAATCTGGGCTTAGCTGATGGAGCTTTGTTTATGCCACTGGTTGCTGACGCGAATGGCACTGCGGTTACTACTTTGTTAACAGCGTTGAAAATCTAACTCCCAAAAGGATTGTTAGATTGGTAATCTATAGTGAGAACATTTATCATTCATTAGAGAATACAAGTAGTCGCAGAAGCAGGAGACTAATATACTGACCCAACAACAGCAGATGGGGTGGTTCAATCCTCGCAACAATGTCAGACGTTATGCCTGTAGCCGGGTCAGCCAACTGCCCACCTTCTGACGAAAACATGCTGTCGACGATATTTTGAAAAGTTTTCCCCACGCTCAAATACAGCCACTCATAAACAGTGCTCGACCAGTGATACTACTTCTTGCAATCTATGTTGGATGGTTATAGATGAGGGAATGCAGCTTGAACCAGATTCTGAAGGTGATGTGGGCATCGAGTAGTGCGTGTAATACGACACCATTTGCTAGGATCCACGTCTATGGGCATGTCAGCCTTGGGATTTCTGGAAGTGTGCTGGTTGTGGTGCTCCTGGGGGAGAGGAAGCTATCGACATTCTCTCTTCAGGACCAAGCATAGGTGATGTATAACCAGAATCATTCGGAGAATTTGACTGATGTCAACATAGAAGACTGCTTTGGTGATGGTCATTTAACGTGTGAAATATAACAGGTTCCATAACTCAGTTGGTTAATGTGGTGCTAATGACGCCAAAGTCAAGGGGCTTTTTTTTACATCCTGTTGCTAGGTCAATCCCCTGGGACGGGTGCCTATGATTGACAACGTCAAGCGAAACACAGACCGATAAGAAGGTATAGCATGTGAGGCAGAGATGCAGATGCCTCAATCTGGGGTATGGGAGATTATCACCCTTGGCACACACAGCCAGCAGACCTTGTTTTCTCCGCGATGCCTATGTTGTCGACCTATTGCTACTCCGGGAGCGACGGAAGCCTTCTCGTTCCTATTGCGCCAGCAAAAGGCTATTCAGCATAGCCTCTAGAAGCACGACTCCATTCTGTTAGATCCCCAGATGACCCTTCTTTGGTCCTCAGGCCCCGTGTTGTGTCACCTCACCCATAGTGCCAATCGCTTGACAAACCCCGCATTGTGTTTACCGTATGTTGCAGCGCAGCTTCCGGCGTGGCCACTCGTCACACGCTGGACCCGGGCGCTGGTGCCCGTGTGTTGCACCTAACGGCTTCGTTTCCATTTCGAAGTTGGATGGTATGTG